AGGTATAGAAGGTAAAAATTAAAAAAACCAATGTGTGGATAAAATTGTAAAATCCAAAATGTAAAAATGAGAAAAAAAGGAGTTAAGGAGTAGTCACTACCACCTGATTACAGCCTCAAACCCAAATGTTTGTATTTTGCCTGTGCTCATAAGAAAGTGAAAAGAGAGAATCAGGTATATCTTACTTGATTCTCAATCCTCCGTTGTCCATGTTTCTTAATTTTGTTGGTTTGTTGCAAATTTCAGGTGGAAAACAATTATTTCTTTGTTGTATCTTGTACACTCCAGCTAAAATTAGCAGGTGAAGAGAAATTCAATTGAATAGCAAATGAATAACTTACGCATTTGAGTACCTTTTTTTCATCAGCAACCAATTATCAGACGAAAAAAATTGACCCACGTTGACAGGTGGCTAATATAATGAAGACTGAGAATACAGTAAAATATCTTTTTTATGTTTGAAAAAATCATTTATAGGTGATTATCATAAGAAAGAAGAAATCTGTAGAAATCATTCTGTGCTTTATGTAGAAATTAAAAGATTTATCAATTGAAATTCGAGCGTTAGACAAAGTCGACTGGTTCAGTGGCTTTAGATTTTTTCAATTCGACCGATAACGCACTTCAACTTAAGCGCTATCTTTTCAACTTTAGTAAAGAATCTTGACAATAAAATACTGATAAAAAACAAAAAGTTCGGATAAACAGCTTTGTAAACTATGTATATATGTAAACTTTTCTATGTATCATGCAAATAAATTCCTTTTGTAATGATTTTTTTGTAAAATTCAATTGAATATGACAGGTGTAGCTGTAGAACTATTATTTTATAAACATACGCTGGACTATATCATGTAAAATCTCTAGTATGAATCCACGTAGCGATGAAGAATTACCTTTTAATTACATAAGAATTGTCGTGACTGTTCAATTTTGAAAAAATTCCAACTTGTTTTATTTAGCCAGCTTGTTTTTACATAAATGTAACTCTTATTCGAGTTAATCAGTAAGACGTAATAGAAAATCCAAGAAATGCGGAAAGCTGGTTTTATGCGTTAATTCCAGTCCTTATGTTTGATTTGTAAGAACAACAATATATTTTATATTATAAGATGGTAAATTCAAGTTGTTTTAAACCATTGAAGCTAGACCATATTTTGCTATTGGAAGCTAGAAACATTTTGGTTACAGGGGTGAATATTCATTATTGATCTTTGCGCTAGAATACACTTTTTTTGGACGCTTCGTTAGTAAAGGGGATAGTTTTTTATAGCTGGTTAATAAGAACTAATAAAGGACAAGAGCTATTCTAAAGTTCATTATTTTTAGTTGATAGAAGAAAGGTTTTACTGTTGGGTACGTAATCTCTTATGTTGAATACAATCAAACTGTCTCTATTTCGTTATGTTCATTTGTGGTTCTACTTTGCGAAGTATGTGTCCACTTGTCTAAGAAAGTTTAGCTGAACCAATTGGATGATGAGAGTAGTGATATTCCTGTCAAGCATAGTTGCTATGACAACAACTTTTTAGGCTCAAACAACATAGACAAACAACATAGACAAAGTGAAGAAAGTCTTTATCATCAATTCGATAAGAAATACAATTGAGTTCATGATTCTTTAAATAGAAGGAAATAGCCTGCTAAATCTTCATGTTTTATTCTAAGCGTTGTATCAGAGTAAACCTAAGCTGTTTTAATGTTCTACTTGAACAACAATATATATTTTTGGTAAACATGGCTATTACCTAAGAATTTTTATTTAATTCTCTTAGCCCTAGTTAAAAATGATTCATTTTTATTACCTTCAATGAAAAGTTTATGAAGGTGTTTCCTCAAATTTTCATTTGACTAGCTTGATGTTTAATGCAAATTTCAACACGAGTCAAACTTAAGAATTAAACGCTATTTTTCAGTTTTTCTGTTATGCACCAGCTGAAATTACTCTAAATGATGAAAAGACATGCCGTAAATGACTGGAAATGTGCTTCGGAAGCTTATTTGATCTAAAAGCTGCTAAGGTAGGCCTTTATTCAAACTGAAAACATATTGAAGATTTTGAGAATTTCAGTCGTTTTGACTTTCAAATGCTGTAAGCTGCAAGTCTTCATTCACCACATCTTATACAACATTTCTTGCTCTCTTCCAATCAACCTCAACATGGTATACCACCAAGTTGACTTTGAATGTGCAACATGGTACAAAATGTCTACCAAAGTCTTTCGACTCCTATTGTCAAAGTGCCAAATCGTAAAAAGTACGATAGGTAGAGGCAATGGACTACTTTCAAACGATTTCAGTTTATAAATGAGATGTATTAATTTAATTGCATATGTTCCATTCGAGATATCGCTCGCCAAGATGGCGATGAAGTAAATTCAATTTAGAGGGATTGGTAGTGTAATAAGATCAGAACTGCACCATTTATGCACAACTTAAGTAATTCTATTGAATTTATTCAATTTTATTTGATCGTCATCTGCGCAGAATTCTTTTTGAGATCTATACTTATTATTTCAGTATACTTTCATTTTATTTATCTTCGAAATGAAAACTAATAATGACTCACAAAGGTTTTCATTCTAATTTTGCCATCTTTTATCCATATCTAAAGCGATAGCAATGAAATATAGATTCAAATTTGCACAGCTGGTCCAAAACCCTGTCTTTTTGACAAAGTCCATATTTGATTAAACGTCATGATTTACAATAAAGAAAACTTTGATGAGAAGTAGCATCGCTTAGCATACCATGGGTAACCAAGCCTCAGTATTTCTTTGACTCTCTGAGTCTCTGTACCCAGGGTACGCTTGGCTTAGTAGCAACCCAGATACCAGTTAAATGTATATAAAATAGGGTCAATAATCCCTTTAGTGGGTGTTGTATCAATGCATCAAAAACCAATTTTCCAATTTTGAGCATCTAAAAACAAGAAACCAGATGCAAGAGACGCGCTGTTCTTATCTTTTACCTCTTTAATACTAGATTTCGCTGTAATTTTTAATTTTTCTTTTAAACTTTAATTAATTAACGCATCTTCATAAGCACTTAAGTGAATTTAGCAATTCATTCTCTACTTGGATCATGTCTAATTTTATCTAAAACTACTGCATAGGATGTGCTTTTTTGAAGCCTTGGTCACATTGTAATGAGAGACCACATTTGGGCTGTCTACGTGCAATTTTATTGACTTGATATGTTACAGTGAAAGAAAAACATTCAACCAAAGAATTTAGACTATAGTTGACCAAAAGTAATTCTTTGTGTCAGTGTCAATATTTATAGGGACGAGATTTGATAAGTAGTTAGATTGCATTATTTCTTTCATTGCTACCTAGAAATTTTAGATCAGAAACTTGATTGAAAATATCCTCTTTATAATTTATAATTTCTTGTGAACCGCCCAAATTTCAACTGTTTTTGTCCTGCCTTTGTTGTTAATAGTTTTTCATGCCAATTGGAAGTATCTTCTTGTATAAAAACCTTATTTTCTTTAGCATAAAATATCTGATCGAAGAAAATTATCTACCATCCGTAATCAGCTTACTGGCCCTTACTATTCAAGCACATTCAAGTTTCCATAGAAATTCCTCATTCTAAAGAAATCATTATTCTTGATCAAAGTAACTTTACTTATAAGCTCCAGTTTCTTTTATATGCCTTTTACGCTTTATTATATTTTTATATATTAAATGCTATTTCAAGAAAAAAAATCGAAATTTTTCATTTAAGCAGTTGCCACTGTACATAGTCCTTCATCAATAAGTCTCGCTAGAAATTAATTCCGCCCCCAAAGATTTTTCATGTTATGAACGAGAATCCTTAAATTCTTGCCACCCATCTCAAAGAGACATCTGAAATTGTTATTTTGAGTTTCTTGGTCTAGTCAATATCTTGTAAAATTCCATGGTATGAAATACCACATTATCTGATAAACAGCAAACCGGTACATCTGACGGACAATTTTAGTCATTATCTGACGGACAATTTTAGTCATTATCTGACGGACAATTTTAGTCATTATCTGACGGACAATTTTAGTCATTATCTGACGGACAATTTTAGTCATTATCTGACGGACAATTTTAGTCATTATCTGACGGACAATTTTAGTCATTATCTGACGGACAATTTTAGTCATTATCTGACGGACAATTTTGGTCATTATCTGACGTTTATACTCTGAGGAAGTGTCAGCGAAAAGTACTTAGGTTTTTTATGTTTCCTCTTTTCCGTTCTATCTTTAAATGTTTAGGAGGATTATTTTCCAGCATCAATTGAAATCGAAATGAATCTGTTAGAAAATTTGGAAATAAAAATCTAACCAAATTGAAAATTAACTCCTTTTTACACTTTTTACAAGACTTGCTCAAGAAGGCGATGTCATGGTAAAGAAGAATTGCTTGCAGCCTCCCTTGGTTCTGAATGTACGAGAGTCACTCAAAAATTATTGAGATATTCAATAACCGCTTGAGATATAAGTTTGAATTTTTTTGGTAGCTTGTACCATCTATTCCATTCATGTTTTGTAATTTTTGTTAACTGTTATGGCATTGAGTAAATCATTAGTTCTCATTATGTGTCGTGAAAATAAGTAGCCGATGAAATTGCAATTCTACCATCTTCCCTGATTTTAAAAAAAATGGACAAAATTATTGCTAGTCTGGTCATTTTGCTAGACTGATGCTGGCAATGGTAGCAACAGATCGATAAATTTTTCGCATCCTGCGTTCAATTAATGAGTCATTGATTATGTTCACGATTGCCTCATTTTGGAGCCTATTTGGTTTTTTTGGGTAATGCAAAGCTTCGGCAAGATAATTAGTACTGCTAGGTATGTCAAAAATCTTGACAGGTATTTATCTCAAGATTTCCTCGCAAAATATGTATTCCTTGCAACGATAATGAAAATAAATAGTAGTATTTGCAAAAAGCGTAAGATAAGTTTGAGATTTGTGTTTCATACTGATCTGGAAGGCAGGTATGTTGGAAGCCCAAAAGTGAATCCGAAAGCAATGTTTTGGAGCGAACCAGAGCAGGGCCTGCGACGAAGGAAGGAGGGCCATAACCCCCTACTTTTTTGCAAAACAATAGAGCTTTTTCTAAAACCTTTTGTTATGGGTATCAAATTTTCAAATTTCCCCTTACCCCCTCCCCCCCCCACTTTTCAAACTGTGTCGGAGCCCATGAACAAAGAATAAGCCCATCCATGATACGAGTTGAATCGATGTAAATAACTTAGATTAGCCAAGTTTACAAAAATTTTCAGTGGTCTAAGTCGCTATCGTAACAATTCGCAATTATGAATGGCAGGTGACAACGTTTGCACACGAACCTAAAAAAGATAAGTTATCAATGAAAAATTATTTCTTTTTTATTGTTAGTCGATGGAAACATTTACAAGCAATAAATCAGTCGGCGGATGCTTACTTTGCATTTCTTTGAATATTTCTTTGAATATCGTTGTCCAATCTTTGCTTCTTTAGACAAATTGTTAAAGCTGAACAAATGTTATTCTCTGGCAGAACTCTTTAAAAGTCTGAAAACAAACAAACCGGCAGTAGCTGAAATAATTCTGAATCGCTAGCTGTTAGATATTTTTGAAGAGAAGGAGACCTTTGCTCTGACAAAGAAAGAGAGAGAACAACGTTCTACTTAGGAAAAACATTTATAGCATCAATTTTCTACGGAGGGGTTGATCGATTTGAAACGTGCAAAGTTGTGCCAGAGGGACAGCAACATTTTAACTTCTGCAAGACTCTCTTTGTTTCTTTTTAATTTATGCACGTGCTGACTAACTTTTACTTCTCACCTTTCGTTGCTTTGTTTATTGCTTTGTTTGTTATATTTTTGGACCCAGTCTCCACAACTATATATGCTGTGCACACGATTTTTTTGGGCGTTGTATTCCGGTATATCATTGAACTAGAAGTCACGGAGAATTGAATTAAAAGACACGGAGGGCGTTTTTCTAAAGCGGAAGACTTGTAAGTTGAGGCACGTGTACAGTTAGTTGGTCATGCAAATACAGTTATAGAGGCAAATAGATTGTAAGTAATTTGTTATTGTTAATTATATTAGCTTTCGTTTTTCATAAGATATTCGTTTTGTTCAGTTTTTTCTACTACTTTAATTTGTTCATGTATTTCTTACTAGGCCTAACCTATTTCATATTGACTATCTATTTTTCTTTTACCAACTGCTAATTTGTATTTAATTTTTTTGTAGCAAACCACGTTCTGAGTTTAATCAAATTGCGTTGATTTTTGTGTTTTCTGATGAGACGCAGGAGTTGATTTGAACTTGAGCCACATTTGGTGCCATAATCGAAATGACTCTTCCCAAAACATCAAAAGCATTGTTCTTTCAAGAACTTTCTAAAGCCGAATTCACTGCAGTCCTAGTCACAAACTTGATAATTATGTTACTAAATATGTTAATGAATATATTCCTATGCCGTGCCATTCTAAAACTACGTCTTTTGAGAAGCTTCACTTTCTACTTCATCCTGAGTATGTCCATTTCGGATCTTTGCATTGGAGTGTTTGTGAATGGCAGCACAACAGTCATACTGGTTCTGCGGATTCATGGAGCGATTGTAAGCAATGTTTATTATTTGTTTCTTCAAGTGTGCTACATTACTTTTGGCCTATTTTCAACGGAGATGCTGCTAACAATAGCCTTCGATCGCTTTCTCCATATAAGGCATTTAAATTTCTACAATGCATACATGACAAAGAGGAAAGTCTTCTTGTTGATTTTCGGAAATGGAAGCATTAGCATAGTGCTCGGGATAATGTCTGGGTATAGTATATTGCTGAAAGTTGATTTTTATGTCAATATTGTACTGACTGTTTTAGGTTTAACTGTAATGTTCTTTGTAATTCTATTGTACAAAAAGTTAATTTTCACTTTTCGGAATCGTGTTGAAAATTCTCAGCTCTCGAATAGACATCGCAGCGATTTGCTGCTTTTGAAAGGAGTTGTTGCCATAGTTTTATCTTTGATTGTTTGCTATTTGCCTTTTATCTTGTTTAACATAATAATTTTCTATGTAAATGACAGTTCTAAAATGCTTTTAGTATATTTGTTGCTGTTTGAACTTTTACTTTTGGAACCATGCATAAATTCAACCATTCTCATTAGCTATAATAAGAAACTAAGGAGATACTTTTTATCATTTTTTCAAAAGCAACTTGACGATGAAATTAGCCACCAATAGGTCTTGTCTAAAAATGTTTTAGATGTATATGTAAAAGTGTGACTCGTTTCTGAAAGTCTGAGCTTAGCCAAGGCAATCAATATTTGTATATTAGGATGATATTTGATTGATGAACAACAGGGAAAAAACACAAATCAACGAGGAGCAATTCGATATCAGCAAATACGTTATGAAAAAGCAAGCTTCTAAAAGTAAAGGACAAGCTTTCTTTACTGAAATTTTTGGTTTTAAATTGAGATTCATTTTATGTTGTATTGCTCCTTGTTTTTTGCATTGTTCCTGCCAATCTAATGTCGACTCTCTTTACAAACGCAATGTTGCATCTTTAGAAGAAAACTGGGAAGAAAAGGAAATACTTGCTACTTATACCTTACTTTTAACATTTCGTCAAAAACAAAATGGTAGCAAATTTTCGTCAGGAAGAAAGATATTTTGCAACTGTACAAGTGTCGTTGCAATGTTTTATGACGATCAACTGAAAATTCGTCGAATGGAAATCCGCATATAATAGCAACTTTGATTGGTCAATGATTTCTGTTGGTTGCATAAAGTATGCAAAAAAAGATTTCATCTATTCCAAATAGGCGTAAGATCTTTGTCCATTTTGATAGCCACAAAAGGAATAAAGAGTTTTATTTCATTATTTATACTCTTTATAAGGAACTCTACTATTCTTAGCCAATCAGGTAGGCGAAAGATTGCCTTTAAGATTCACGAAGGATTGATTTTTTTGCTTTACGAACGTTGTTAAACTGCATCATTAAAAGTTACAAGTTGTCACTGACATTCATGAAAGTTCATATTTTGATAAAGAATGGAGTTTGTTTCATATGACTACAAGCAAAGAACATAAACATTTCCTTGTTTTATGTAGAGTACACATAATGGTTTACTAAGCTTAGTTTATAGTTGGTATATCGTGTAATGTTACACTCGTGTTGTCAGTTGATAACAATCATTTGATATCAATCAGTTGATAAAATTAATTGACTATTTTGATTCAAAGACTTTCAAAATATTTATCTCAGTTGGCAATTGCTCATTTCTTGTATTGCTACCTTTGTCAAACTTTTCGCAACGTATCTTTTTTCCTAAAATATTCTTTGGTCAGTTATTATCTGAAAAAAGCACAGAAGAGCGTAAACATATCATATCATACCAGGTACTTTTGCGGTACCAAACGCATATTTGGTCATTTACTATCGTCGACAACCAACATTCTGCATCTCTTTTTTCTGGAGACACAGAAAATGATTCTCCTCAACCACTCAGTACCAAAGGGAAGTCAAAGGCCATGGACATCAGTGTTTGTTTTTCACGACTAAATTCTACCCAGAGCGTTAATAACACATTACAATGTGCCTTCTTTACAGAATGGTATCATATCATCATATCCATGTTTCTGACAGCTGTTAAGGCGCAATACCGCAAGGAAGGCGCACAACAAATTTGTCTACTGTTTTTATATATATTTTATGGGGTAACACATCAAAGAGGGTATGTTCAAACATTGGCGGAACGTACCCCCCCCCCCGTACTCTTTTACGAAGTTGGCCCTTGAGATTCTAGCCAACCCGATGAGAAAACTTCGGGGAGGGAGGGGGTATGTACGTTATCTAGATCGTCAAAAGCTGATTTTGGTGTGAAGCAATAACATTATTTTCCATGTACAATTATCACCTTGTCAGTAATTTTGTAGATTACCGTCCTTTTTTCTTGATATTGTTTACAATGATATAAAATCTTTTTTTAAAATGCAGCGAGACTTAATTGTCCATCAATAGCAAAATATTGTCTAGCTTCAATGGTTTAAAAAAAATTAAATTTACCATCTTATAATATAAAATATATTGTTGTTCTTACAATCCAACATAAGGACAGGAATGAACGCATAAAACCAGCTTTCCGCATTTCTTGCATTTTCTATTACGTCTTACTGATTAACTCGAATAAGAGTTACATTTATGTAAAAACAAGCTGGCTAAATAAAACAAGTTGTAATTTTTTCAAAATTGAACAGTCACGAAAATTCTTATGTAATTAAAAGGTAATTCTTCATCGCTACGTGGATTCATACTAGAGATTTTATACAATATAGTTCAGCGTATGTTTATAAATTAAGAGTTCTACAGCTACACCTGTCATATTAAATTGAACTTTACATAAAAATCATTACAAAAGGAATTTGTTTGCATGACACATAGAAAAGTTTACATATATACATAGTTTACAAAGCTGTTTACCCGAACTTCCTGTTTTTTATCAATATTTTATTGTCAAGATTCTTTACTAAAGTTGAAAAGATAGCGCTTAAGTTGAAGTGCGTTATCGGCCGAATTGGGAAAATTTAAAGCCACTGAACCAGTCGACTTTGTCTAACGCTCGAATTTCAATTGATAAATCTTTAAATTTCTACATAGAATGATTTCTACAGATTTCTTCTTTCTTATGATAATCACCTTCAAATGATTTTTTCAAACATAAAAAGATATTTTACTGTATTCTCAGTCTTCATTATATTAGCCACCTGTCAACGTGGGTCAATTTTTTTCGTCTGATAATTGGTTGCTGATGAAAAAAGGTACTCAAATGCGTAAGTTATTCATTTGCTATTCGATTGAATTTCTCTCACCTGCTAATTTTAGCTGGAGTGTACAAGATACAACAAAGAAATAATTGTTTTCCACTTGAAATTTGCAAAAAACCAACAAAATAAAGAAACATGAAGAGTGGAAGATTGAGAATCAAGTAAGATATATCTGATTCTCTCTTTTCACTTTCTTATGAGCACAGGCAGAATACAAACATTTGAGTTTGAGGCTGTAACCAGGTGGTAGTGACTACTCCTTATCTCCTTTTTTCTCATTTTTCCATTATGAATTTTACAATTTTATTCAGACATTGGTTTTTTAGTTTTTACCTTTTATTCCTATTAAAACATTAATGATTGCCAGTGGCGTGTTGGAAGGGGGCAAGGGGGCAATTGCCGATCAAATATCAGGGGCGCCACAATGAATTTACATTGACATTGAGCACTTTAGCTTGAAACTTAATTTCAAAATTTTGAAATTCAAATTTTTACGTGTGTAAAAAGAATAAAAAACCTATAATCCAGTGTTACTAGTAAAAACATTTAAAAGCTACACTGTCACGAAACCTTATGCAACGATCTGGTCGAGATACAAATCGTTCACAAAAGTTTTTGAGGGGATACAAATTTCTAATCGCTAAACCAAGTTTTTAGCTGTTTAATATTATGGACTATAAAATAGGCTTCCTTGATTTGATGGCAAACTGTTTTCGAAGATTTGATAAGTCAATTCTTTTGGAAATATCTCAATACTTGCAGAGAGTACAAACCGGTACATCTGACGGACAATTCTAGTCATTATCTGACGGACAATTTAAGTCATTATCTGACGGACAATTCTATTCATTATCTGACGGACAATTCTAGTCATTATCTGACGGACAATTTAAGTCATTATCTGACGGACAATTCTAGTCATTATCTGACGGACAATTTAAGTCATTATCTGACGGACAATTCTAGTCATTATCTGACGGATAATTTAAGTCATTATCTGACGGACAATTCTAGTCATTATCTGACGGACAATTTTAGTCATTATCTGACGGACAATTTTAGTCATTATCTGACGTTTATACTCTGTGCAAATGTCAGCGAAATGTACTTAGGTTTTTTATGTTTCCTCTTTTCCGTTCTATCTTTAAATGTTTAGGAGGATTAAACACTGTCGTGCTTTGATTCGTAAAATCTCAAATGAATTTTCCATCCGAACATAATAAAAAAGACGTTTCTATAGTTCTTGCGGAAATCCAGCCCAGTAACATCTTTAAATTGAATTTTCCAACATCAATTGAAATCGAAATGAATCTGTTAGAAAATATGGAAATAAAAATCTAACCAAATTGAAAATTAACTCCTCTTTACACAGCTGGAATTTCACGAGGATACAAAGACTTGCTCAAGAAGGCGATGTCAATGTCTCTTTAGAGCTTTGCTATCAGAGCATGGTAGAAAGAGAATTGCTTGCAGCCTTGGTTCTGAATGTAACTGTTATGGCATTGAGTGAATCATTAAATCTCATTATGTGTCGTGAAAATTAGTAGCCGATGAAATTATAATTCTACTGTCTTCCCTGATTTATAAAAAATGGACAAAATTATTGCCATTTTTATATTTCATTTGGTTATTTTGCTAGCCTGATGCTGGCAATGGTCGCAACAGATCGATACATTTTTGCATCCTGTCTTCAATTAATTCGTCATTAATTATGTTCATGTTTGCCTCATTTTGGTGCCCTATTTTGTATTTTTGGGTAATGTTAAGCTTTGGCAAAACAATTAGTACTGCTAGGTATGTCAAAAATCTTGACAGGTATTTATCTCAAGATTTAATGGAGTAAAAATATGTCTGCCTCGCAACGATAATGAAAATAAATAGTAGTATTTGCAATAAGCATAAGATAATTTTGAGATTTGCGTTTCATACTGATCTGGAAGGCAGGTATGTTGGAGGCCCAAAAGTGAATCCGAAAGCAATGTTTTGGAGCTGTGCAGGGCAGGGCCTGCGACGAAGGAGGGAGGGCCATAATCCCCTAATTTTTTGCAAAACAACACAGCTTTTTCTAAAACCTTATGTTATGGCTGTCAAATTTTTAAATTTCCCCTTACCCCCCTCCCCTTCCCCACTTTCCAACCTATGTCGGAGCCCATGAACAGAGAAAAAGCCCATCCATGATACGAGTTAAACCAAGTTTACAAAATTTTTCAGTGGTCTAAGTCGCTATCGTAACAATTCGCGATTATGAATGGCAGGTGACAACGTTTGCACAAAAACGTCAAAGAGATAAGTTATCAATAAAAAATTATTTCTTTGTTATTGTTAGTCGATGGAAACATTTACAAGCAATAAATCTTTGACAGTCGGCGGATGCTTACATTGCATTTCTTTGAGTATTCGTTGTCCAATCTTTGCTTCTTTAGACAAACTGTTAAAGCTGAACAAATGTTATTCTCTGGCAGAACTCTTTAAAAGTCTGAAAACAAACAAACCGGCAGTAGCTGAAATAATTCTGAATCGCTAGCTGTTAGATATTCTTGAAGAGAAGGAGACTTTTGCTCTGACAAAGAAAGAGAGAGAGAGCAACGTTCTACTTAGGAAAAACATTTATAGCATCAATTTTCTACGGAGGGGTTGATCGATTTGAAACGTGCAAAGTTGTGCCAGAGGGACAGCAACATTTTAACTTCTGCAAGACTCTCTTTGTTTCTTTTTAATTTATGCACGTGCTGACTAACTTTTACTTCTCACCTTTCGTTGCTTTGTTTATTGCTTTGTTTGTTATATTTTTGGACCCAGTCTCCACAACTATATATGCTGTGCACACGATTTTTTTGGGCGTTGTATTCCGGTATATCATTGAACTACAAGTCACGGAGAGTTGAATTAAAAGACACGGAGGGCGTTTTTCTAAAGCGGAAGACTTGTAAGTTGCGGCAAGTGTACAGTTAGTTGGTCATGCAAATACAGTTATAGAGGCAAATAGATTGTAAGTAATTTGTTATTGTTAATTATATTAGCTTTCGTTTTTCATAAGATATTCGTTTTGTTCATGTATTTCTTACTAGGCCTAACCTATTTCATATTGACTATCTATTTTCTTTTATCAACTGCTAATTTGTATTTAATTTTTTTTGTAGCAAACCACGTTCTGAGTTTAATCAAATTGCGTTGATTTTTGTGTTTTCTGATGAGACGCAAAAGTTGGTTTGAACTTGAGCCACGTTTGGTGCAATAATCGAAATGACTCTTCCCAAAGCATCAAGAACATTGCTCTATCAAGAACTTTCTAAAGCCGAATTCACTGCAGTCCTAGTCACAAACTTGATAATTATGGTACTAAATATGTTAATGAATATATTCCTATGCCGTGCCATTCTAAAACTACGTCTTTTGAGAAGCTTCACTTTCTACTTCATCCTGAGTATGTCCATTTCGGATCTTTGCATTGGAGTGTTTGTGAATGGCAGCACAACAGTCATACTGGTTCTGCGGATTCATGGAGCGATTGTAAGCAATGTATATTATTTGTTTCTTCAAGTGTGCTACATTACTTTTGGCCTATTTTCAGCGAAGATGCTGCTAACAATAGCCTTCGATCGCTTTCTCCATATAAGGCATTTAAATTTCTACAATGCATACATGACAAAGAGGAAAGTCTTCTTGTTGATTTTCGGAAATGGAAGCATTAGCATAGTGCTCGGGATAATGTCTGGGTATAGTATATTGCTGAAAGTTGATTTTTATGTTAATATTGTACTGACTGTTTTAGGTTTAACTGTAATGTTCTTTGTAATTCTATTGTACAAAAAGTTAATTTTCACTTTTCGGAATCGTGTTGAAAATTCTCAGCTCTCGAATAGACATCGCAGCGATTTGCTGCTTTTGAAAGGAGTTGTTGCCATAGTTTTATCTTTGATTGTTTGCTATTTGCCTTTTATCTTGTTTAACATGATAATTTTCTATGTAAAAGAAAGTTCTAAAATGCTTTTAGTATATTTGTTGCTGTTTGAACTTTTACTTTTGGAACCATGCATAAATTCAGCCATTCTCATTAGCTATAATAAGAAACTAAGGAGATACTTTTTATCATTTTTTCAAAAGCAACTTGACGATGAAATTAGCCACCAATAGGTCTTGTCTAAAAACGTTTTAGATTTATATGTAAAAGTGTGACTCGTTTCTGAAAGTCTGAGCTTAGCCAAGGCAATCAGTATTTGTATATTAGGATGGTTATTTGATTGATGAACAACAAGGAAAAAACGCAAATCAACGAGGAGCAATTCGATATCAGCAAATACGTTATGAAAAAGCAAGCTTCTTAAAGTAAAGGACAAGCTTTCTTTACTGAAATTTTTGGTTTTAAAATGAGATTCATTTTATGTTGTATTGCTCCTTGTTTTTTGCATTGCTCCTGCCAATCTAATGTCGACTCTCTTTACAAACGCAATGTTGCATCTTTAGAAGAAAACTGGGAAGAAAAGGAACTACTTGCTACTTATACCTTACTTTTAACATTTCGTCGTAAACAAAATCTTCAAAATTCTCATCAGGAAAAAAGATATTTTGCAACTGTACAAGTGTCGTTGCGATTTTTTATGACGATTATCTCAAAATTCGTCTAATGGAAATCCGCATATAATAGCAACTTTGATTGTTCAATGATTTCTGTTGGTTGCATAAAGTATACAAAAGAAGATTTCATCAAATCCAAATTGGCGTAAGATCTTTATCAATTTTTATAGCCACAAAAGGAATAAAGACCTCAGAGTTTTATTTCCCTATTTATACTCTCTTAATAAAGGACTCTGCTATTTTTAGCCAATCAGGTAGGCAAAAGATTGCCTTTAAGATTCACGGAGGATTGATTATTTTGCTTTACGAACGTTGTTAAATTGCATCATTAAAAGTTACAAGTTGTCACTGACATTCATGAAAGTTCATATTTTGATAAAGAGTGGAGTTTGTTTCATATAACTACAAGCAAAGAACAATAAACATTTTCTTGATTTATGTAGAGTACATATAATGGTTTACTAAGCTTAGTTTATAGTTGATATATCGTGAAACGTTACACTCGTTTAAACTCGTTTTTACAATCAGTTGATAAAATTAATTGACTGTTGTGATTCAAATACTATGTACGTTATCTAGATCGTCAAAAGCTGATTTTGTTGTGAAGCGATAACATCATTTTCCATGTACAATTATCACCTTGTCAGTAATTATATAGATTACCCTCCTTTTTTTCTTGACATTGTCTACAATGCTATAAAATCTTTTTAAATATGCAGCTAGAAAGATATTTCCAATGAATTGACTTATCAAATCTTCGAAAACAATTTGCCATCAAATCGAGGAAGCCTATTTATAGTCCATAATATTAAACAGCTAAAAACTTGGTTTATCGACTAGAAATTTGTATCCCCTCAAAAGCTTTTGTGAACTATTTTTACCTTGACCAGATCGTTGCATTAGATTTCGTGACAGTGTAGCTTTTTAAAAGTTTTTACTAGTAACACTTGATTATAGGTTTTTTGTTAATTTAACATACGTAAAACTTCTAATTTCAAAACTTTGAAATTAAGTTTCAAGCCAAAGTGTTCAATATCAACGGTTCATTAAATGACAGTTCTTGGGAGACAAGAAGTGTTTCCTAAGAAATAAAATGCTTCTCGCAGAAAAAGGGCGCGGTCAAAAAGGGCCTGGTCCCAGACCCCCTTTTGTCCCTCCCACTTATCCCGGGCTGGAGCCGCCACTGTGTTTAAGTGCCAAACATTGTTTAGAACATCGCTCTTTTTGGGCATATTTTCGACGTCACTATGATTACAAGGAGCTGTATCGCCGAGGAGAAATTTGAAAACAATTTGTAAAGATATCAATCAAATTCTCTTTTCAAAATATTATCTTGGCAAATATGGAGTTTTCTTGCAAAAAGAAATGATAGATGAGCAGTGAAAACCTCTAAACAAAGAAGGAACCGAGAGAAAATGATGAATACAGTCAACAGATCTTTTTATCAAAGCACATGATTTCTTTAAGACAATACTTCTGGCTATAAGTAAACTATTTGCAAGCACGAACATGTTAACAAAAAACTCAGTTTTCAGCGTTAAAATACGAATCAACAATCTTAATGAAATATCAATATCAATTCACGTAAACATAATATCAATTTGAATATTAGATGACTTATCTCATTATTTGTAATTTTTGGCAGAGAAACATATTGCTTTTGGCTTTTTTCACCAAGAATTATCTGGACAACACAATAATTTCTGCGCAAGGTTTGTCGAGCAAATCTTATTGTATGGTCAAACATAATTCAGATAAATCAGCAATAATTACAGGAGTAGCTAATCGCAAAAATGAAATTATTGTCATATTGGTGTTCTAAGATCTTGCCTGGTAGCTGCAAACAACAATACAAGTTAACCATATTTAGACTTTCTAAACACTAACCATATTTAGACTTAGACAAAATAAACTCTCTAAACACTAGTTTGTCTTCTGCAAACCATCGAATTGAGATGCCTTCTCATTTTACGGTTAGATAATAACAGTATCATTGAATTGACGCTCGATTCTGACAAAGCAATCTGAAATAGCCAAGCGTAGATAAGTGATTTGTGTCTGTCTTCTTCGTCAGCATTTGTAGCTTTGGCTTTATAGTAGAAGAAAAAGTTGTATGAAACGAAAGGCAGATAACAAATCATTATAGAGACCACTATAGCAAAAATCCCTTTGAGAAGCTGCAGATCAGCACGATGTCGATTTGGGAATTGAAAAGTCACCACGTGATTTCGAAAAGCCAAGAATATCTTTGCGTAAAAGACAAGGATCGTTGCAACGATAATGAAATATAGAATCGTTAAAACAGTAACAACGTAGAAAATTGTTCCATGCCTTGAACCAAAAAAGAACATAAAACCAGATACAATGCTTGTACAGATGTTTCCTAATATCATGCAAAGCGACTTTTTCTTTGTCATATGGGCATTGTAAAAATCCAAATACTTTGTGTGAAGATATCGATCAAAAGCAATCATGACCAGCGAGATGGCAGAGAACTGACCAAAGACAACGTAACACACTTTGTATGCCGTGTGGAGTTCTTCGGTAATTTCTGATTCAAGAAGGTGAGCTAAAAAATGCGTTGACAGCAAGGATTGCACACAGATTCCGATTATAAAGTCAGATATCGCCAAACTTAAGATGAAATGGTAAGCGATATTTCGCAAAAGACCAAGTTTCAGAATTGTGCGGCACAGAATGTTATTCAGTGCTATATTGATTATTGACAAGACTGTATTGGAAACCAGTAAGACGATCATACCAGATCTAGAGAGACTCTTCATAACTGTTTTTCCATAAAGTACAACTTTTACCCTGCAAAGCAGAATTTTCGTCTGTTACTTTTCTGACAACCATCCAACTTCTACAAAAAGTTACAAAGCTTTTCACCTGTCTAAACAAAATAAATTGTTAAATGATAAGCTCAATTTTATTCAGCTGTCAAGAAACTTTTCGAATATAGAAGTGTTTGCTTGTCTCTAAAGGCAATTGAAAGCTGCTCCAATATAGGTTTTTGATATTATCTTATGATAAAGGTATTAAAGCATAAAATGTCTCTCCTCCGTCATAGTATCATCTCAAACCCAGCCTTTCAGTCGTGTTTGAATCAGTTCCGTGTGAAGAGATAGCTTTACTTACTCCCTCACACAGCTGAAAATAACGAAAGTGAAATAAAACTATATCGCTATCGCTCCCGAGGGGCAAATCACTGCTTAAAATCATGTACGCTCTCAAGAATAATCACACTTTAATCAAAAATTAATCACATTAATCATATTAATCACAGAGTATAACATTAATCACAAAAGTTACTTAAAACAAATATTACAATCCTTGCCCACTTTTATCCGGATATGTTATTAAAAAATTCAATATTTAGAATTTCCCTTTCATGTTTTTCCAATCTTTTCATGAACAAGTTTGAAAATCTGCAAACACACGCTCGGGAACAACAAGCTTTTATAATTACCTTGCAATGAAGCAAAAAAATGAAGGCCTAGTTATGATGCCGGGGTCACTGAAACAACCATAGCTGTTTTTGTTGCCCAAATGCCACCGAAGTTGATCTGACCGGGACCACGCCTGATAGCAGTCATTTTTCACCCATTGCTATAGGGGCAGATCCAGACAGTTCCGGATTTCGCAGTTGCAACTGTTACATTTATGGGAGATGATTCATGTCAGATTCTTGTCATTTCCACAGATAAAGTTTGATAATCAAGTTCCATTTTTCTGGAACTTGTAATTTTTTATATCGGTGAAAGTTTCAGGAATGGCAGTTTAATTTCTCAATACCGACATCACTTTCGAGGGCAGAGAACAGAGCACATGCATTTGTCTTAATGTCTTTCACAAGGTGTTCAACAACTGTTCAACGTTTTTTCATTCCCGGCTATTTGGTTCCATGTTGCTAATGCTATTGTTCAGGAAAGATAGCTTTTTTGACGCATATTCAAATTTTTATGACAAAAGTAGCAGCCCACAGAACAGAAAACATGCATTTGCCTTAATTTCTCATTCAAAGTGATCAACAACTTTTCACTGTTTTTAATCCAAGGCTTTTTGCATTCATGTTACTAATGCTACTGTACAGAAAAAATAGCTTTCTTGAAGCATATTCAAATTCTTATGACAAAAATAGCAGTCCACAGAACAGAAACATGGATTTGCCTTAATGTCTTTTGCAAGGTGATCAACAGCTGTTCAATGTTTTTCCTCCGTTGTTGATGTTATCAAACTTTTGTACCTTTTTCGTTGCAAGTCTACAACGGTCAAATTTTTTCTGGATCCATTCCTGTGCTGAGCTGCTAATTTTTCTTTCTCAACTTCATACAGTATGTTGCAAACCCGTTGACGACATTTATTGAGCATGACATTGTTTAAGAGCACTTTTGAATCTATGATTTAATTTCTAAAGAATAAAAAATTAGTAGAAAATTAATCACTTTTATCACTAAAAATCAAATTAATCACACACAAAATTGATTTAATCACAAATTAATCACTTGTGATTGTTAATCTCGTACATCTTGTGATTGTTAATCTTGTGATTGATTTGCCCCGCGATTGCTCCTGATCAAGGAAATTAACCAGATCAGGTTTTTGATGGCATTAATTGAATCAGCCAGAATTATCGATTGTCCTATTTCTTGGCCGACTTTTCTTGACTAGTTCTTACTCTGAGGTCAAGAATAGGCAGGGATTGAAATAAGCAGGGTAATTATACAATAAACAAATTGATACCTATACAACAGCGAGCTAGACAGACTTCGGCTAGACCAACCCAAAGAACAGCTTGCAGTGAATGCAGAGCCACGAGGTTTTATCTTTTGGAAAAAATGATGAGAAAATGTTTGGAAAAGACATTAGTGTTAGGAGTGGGGAAGGGGGAGGGTCATTCAAATATACTTATGATAGGGATGCTCAGGCTGTAGTACAAACCATCCTCTCAAAAGTATTTTCTGGCAAAACATTTTGATCCAAGAAAGTAATTTTTATCGCCATGCACAAGAAATTTTGCAACTTTTCTTTATTTGATATTCGAGACCCAAAAAGCAATTCTTAATTTCATGAACTCAGTAAAGTAACTTTACAAATGACTGACCCAAGGAAATAATTTTTTTCTCAAATTCTAGGCTCAAAAAAGGACCAGCAGCCCAATTCAAGACTTAAATTTTCGAACAAGATCAAGCTTTTGATCTTTCTACCTATCAACAGGGGCGTTGTGGCCGGGGGGCAGGGAGGGCCGTGGCTCCCTCTGCTTTCAAAATTTGATGGATTTTTGGAAAAAATCATTGTTTTGTCGGAAAATTCCCAGACTTGAGCAGTGGGTGATTCTCAGATATTTCGCAACATAAATTACTTGTACTACAGTACTAATCGTTATTTCGAGGGGCAATTCACTTTTGTAAAGAAAATACTATATTTCCATAAACCAAAATGATTTTTCAGGATTTACAGACTTCTACTATAGAGTGATTTGCTGCTCGGATTTTGTCAGATAAAATCCGAATCTTCAAGGGCAAAATTTGGTTATAGAAATTGGTCAATATTGGTAATATCTTTATTTAATATTGAAGACCGGGACAGTGCCAATATTGTGCCTATCACCACATTTGGAAATTTTGCTAATATAGGAAGAATGATTATGAATATTAGTGGTGTATGCCTATGCCTCTCCCTTTCCCTACGTTTCAAAAAGTCCCAAAAAAATTTTTACCACACACCATTTTGACAAGCATTTTGAACCACCCTCGTTTGACCAAGAGACCTGGGTCGAATGTTATTGAGATTTGTGTTTTCCCTCCAAAAACCAAAATGGAGAAGTGAAGCATTGGCAAGTATTGTTGAAATGAAGCATGAAGGTAGCAAGTAGATTTTAAGACAAGAGAATGGAGGCACTTTATTCACCAAGAGCACAAAAGGATGATCAAGGAAGTGGCTATGTAGGCTTTTTGCAGGACCAAGGTGAGGAGCGTTCGCCGTTAATAGCAAACAGACTAAAGTTTAGGTTAGGCCTTCCTTCTATACGTTACGGTAGCATAGAAGACATACCACTGCAAGATATCCAGAAGTTTATAGGGTTTAAGAGTTTCATTTTATTGGCCGCTTCATGGTTTATCATAAAAGTATTAAGTTCTTAAATATATCAACCAGCACTGGTGCACTTGCCAGAGATCAGATAATTTTGTCGACGAACTGTGAAAATTAATCGACCTCATCAGCTCAGGCGCTGTTACATCTATCAGTGTTGCTCCGGAAACTGTCCAATCATGTCCTGAAAAGTAAACGCGTATTATTTTTCAGTCAGACGACTCAATGTGGTCTTGAAAGAGTATCAAAGAAGGTACCCTCCAATAAAAGAACCAACATATGAGGTAAGTTACATATTATGCCATCAACTTTCTATGAAAGTTTTAGCTCCAAAAGATCGTACCAAATCCAAAATGATTGAGTGGCAATCTTGAATTCCGTGTAGCACTAATAATGTTCAAAAGAACTATGTCTCAACGCATTTTGCTGGCCACTTAAATTTCCCATTGGATGGACTATACAGTAGATCCATTGTAACATATCAAATCAGCTAATTCTCAATGTTTTCTTAAAATGAAACATGCTGCAAAGCCTACAGTTAACTCTGAACGGTTGACTGACAGGATGTAGTGGTTTCAACTTCCAACAAACTTCAAAAGCTCCACAAATGAAGAAGATCAATTGACAGCCAGCAGACAAGCTAACATATTCAAGCAAGATAATTTGATTCTTTGCTTCATTGTAACCTTGTTACTGTTCACATCTTTCAATAACAAAAATATTGGGTTGGAGGACCAGTTCGAGTTTTAATTGCTTTCTTGTTTTTTTTAAATTCTTTTTTCTTTTGAAAGGATAATGATTCGCTACCTCCTTGGCTGGAAGACCCAAGGTTTGTTCCTTAAGAATTTTATAAGAACTGTTTTGCTTTTCTTATCTTAAGGTTTACATTATGCAAACAAGAATGTAAAATAGCTTTTGCCATGATCCATCATTTTGAGGGTAATGATTAGTTTCGTTTTGTTTTCTTGCTTTTCAGTATTATCTCACCACTGTTGCTTGAGTATGATGGTAACATAAAAGCATTGAAAGACCAAGTTCAATTCTACAAGGTAAAAAAAGTCATATTTACTTACGAAAAACAGAATATAAGATCTTTTCTGATATAATTTGCAAGTTATATGTTTTTGTTACTGATTAAGTTATGCTGAATTTAAAAAATGTAGAAGAGAAACAGGGTACTTTTTGCATGAACATTACATGCAAAGTAAAAGGACCTGGTACTGAAGATTTGATGTCCTATTAAACCATTAGCTTGTCATTACATTTATTGCAGAAAGAACAGGATGCACTAAAGGAAAAGACTGATAAGATTGTAGAGGAAAACAACCGGTTTGTGAAAATTTCCTTTTCTTCAAACCTTTTTTTCAGAATACTTGGTTACATATATACATTGTCTATGCACAATATACTTCTTCTTTTATCTATATGTGTTTATCTAATTATGCATCCAGCTATTTGATTAGAAAATAGTTACAATAAAAGGCTTTATGGCAGGTCTTTCTATAGCATTAAATAAAATCAAGAACACATAAAAAACTTGTGTCTGTTTTTATTAATGTTTAGTGAATTACTACTAATGTTCTACTGAGAAAATGGCTGTTTGTGTTCATTTTAGACTTCATGAAGAATTAAGAAGAAGCATCGAAAACCAGCTTGAGGCACTGCAGCAAGTTGAGGGCATGTCTGGAGTCAACCAAGATGTCATTGAAAATATGCAGCATCAGTTAAAAACTATAAGTCTAGTGAGGATTCTTCTTTATTTATTTAAACAGTGCATTTTACAGGCTCTGTTGTCATCTGTTAATAATGTTCTGAATGCTTTTTTTTCATTTCTGATCATGAGTAAAGTATATGCTCAGATTTTTATGCTTAATTTAGGTTTTCAATATTTTTGCTGTTCTGTGAATTGTAAATGCCCCATAGTTGATAAATGCTAAATTTACTTTTTTGAATAAAATTTTATCTTTGTTTTTATAAGGATTGATTTGTACCAGTAAATTTTTATGAATAAATTTAATTGGCACCAGAAAATACTTTTAAGTATCCTAAAGTATATTGCATTGTTGAAAATATGCTTTTTTAATGATTTTGAACTCATATTAATTCTTAATATCCCAGGAAAAGGATAACTTTAAAAATCTTTGGGAGAAAGTAACAAGAGAACTCAACAACTTGCAAGACAATATAAGGGTTAGATTCTTTTCATTTTGCTACTAATTGATTTACATTTAAGTGTTGTTACATGTTCAAGAATATTGGAACAGCGATTTACTGCTTATCGGGTAAATCTCACATTTAAAAACCTGGTGATATGAAATTTGGCGGCGTGCTGGTATTCGCACGCCTTGAAAAGTTTAGGCGTGCGATGGGGTGCGATGATGTGCAATCCATAAAATGGAGACCTTACGATTTTTATGAAGACCTGATGTCATTTGTGTATTAGAAGGTGTGTTTGAAAAAGTGTATGTGGTTTTAATAAAGCCAAAAAGTTTTTATGGAATTTTAGAAGAATTTCTTGAAAACAAAATAATTCAACAAAAGGATACAAGTTTTTTAGGCCCTGTTGCCATTACTCTGTTTCCTTATGAGAACGGATTCGAGTGAATCTGTTTTAGAATTTGAGTTCCATTAATACGCTCAAAAACGGTGTCATTAGATACCAAACCAAAGTTATTCAAAAACGCTGTTCAAAGTGGAGTCCGAAAACGGAATAATTTGGATACACATTGTTTTATTGGGATCAGCGAAGAAAGATGCATTCGAAAACGGAGTCATCCAATCTCAGTTTCAAAAAGAGCTCGAGCAAAGGAAATGAACCTAGAAAGGCAATTTTCCTACTCACTTTCACAAATAGCATGGTTTTTTGAGTCTGACAGTATTAAACTGGCTGGAAAGAGAAATTGGCATAGGTTTGCCTTATTCTTGACATTGACTTGGAGATTGTTATTTTGGACAATTGTATAGGGTAGGTTATCAGCAAATAGTCAACTAATTTGTGAATGATTTAACATTGTTGCAAGCAAAACTCTCACTTTTTATATGATTTTCCAACCATTTTTTAATTTATTTCAATTTTAAACTTTTTATACATTTTCTAAAAGGATAAGTCACAAGAGATTGCTATGAAAAATGCTGACATTGGAGCTTTGCAGGTAGGAGTTTGTTCATTTATGGTGATTGGGACAAGATTTTGGTGCATGTCGCACTGTTTTGTGCTATCAAATAAATATATCTGTGAAGCTGTTAAAACATTATCTCTTTAATTTTCAATTTTGTGTTTGAGGATAATCTGGAAATGCTAGAATTTGATGTTAAACTGGGATGAAGGGGTGAAAAACATTTAAAAAAAAATGGAAGTTAGTGGATTAAATAAGTCATAGCTTTGGACTTAAAATAATGTTTTGCCTATTCAGGCAGACGAAAGACATCAACCAAGTAAGTCTCCAACCTATCTATCAAGCACTTTGGTCTAGAGTTTCAATATAGACTTATTAAAATATGGCCATAAATTTGTCATAATGTTTCAAAATTTTGTTTGACCTCCTGAAATTTTATGTATTATTGCTAATTAGCAGATTTAGGTTAGCCATATGCTTAAATTTATAGTTTGAAAATGAATCAAATTATAACAAAAAACAATCAAACAAAACTGAAAAATGGAAGGGTGTTATTTTGCTGAAAAACGTTTGATTTGCATTTTCATTTTAACAGGATGATTTAAGAAAGGCAAGAAAATATGCAGAAGACCTCCAAAGAGACAAGCATAAGATCAAAATTGTGAGTGAGTTGGAATCTTTTTTCACTTCATCGTGGTTTCTTTATAATTTCTTTACAATTCCTTAGAATCTTTTACCTTTTACCTAACAGCAAATGATTTATTTCAACCTTTTGTTTTCAGTATCCTTTTTGCTTGCGTTTTAGTAAAGAATGTTTCTTTTTAATGTGTGACAGTTATTCCTTTTGTCCCCACAGGATGCAGGTTGGTTCTTAGCAACTGGCCAAACTTTGAAAATCTATAGCTACTGTGTTGACATTATAGTGCCCTTCGATTTTTTTAAGCAAAGCATAAAATTTTACTTTTATAGGAACAAGAGCAATTTTTGCAAACAGCTGAAACCCAAGATAAAGAAATAGATGTTATTAGAGCTGAACTACGGTAGGAGAAAAACCTTAAATGAATTTCAAATTGCTTTGCCCTTAAACAGATCAAGAAATCTTTTGCTTTGCTCTTTTGATTGATATCTGCAGTTCATAAGTATTGAATTTTGATAGAAGAATTTTTTCTTTACATCACCCAGATATGGTTAAGTGGTCTTTTCTTTACTCATTGAAATGAACCTCTAAAAAAGCACTGTGTTGCAATTTCTAATTTTTTTTCTTTTCTTACTTTATATTATTATATGCCCTTTTTCTTGTAGATTTGTATTTTATCATTGTTGAAAAAGGAATTCTTGTCATTTGAATTTTTTTTTAATTTAACAATTACATTCTTCTGAATTGATTTTTCTAGATATTTTTATCTAACCTCGAACTTTACTCGTTGAAATGAACCTCTAAAAAAGCACTGTGTTGCAATTTCTAATTTTTTTTCTTTTCTTACTTTATATTATTATATGCCCTTTTTCTTGTAGATTTGTATTTTATCATTGTTGAAAAAGGAATTCTTGTCATTTGAATTTTTTTTTAATTTAACAATTACATTCTTCTGAATTGATTTTTCTAGATATTTTTATCTAACCTCGAACTTTACTCGTTGAAATGAACCTCTAAAAAAGCACTGTGTTGCAATTTCTAATTTTTTTTCTTTTCTTACTTTATATTATTATATGCCCTTTTTCTTGTAGATTTGTATTTTATCATTGTTGAAAAAGGAATTCTTGTCATTTGAATTTTTTTTTAATTTAACAATTACATTCTTCTGAATTGATTTTTCTAGATATTTTTATCTAACCTCGAACTTTACTCGTTGAAATGAACCTCTAAAAAAGCACTGTGTTGCAATTTCTAATTTTTTTTCTTTTCTTACTTTATATTATTATATGCCCTTTTTCTTGTAGATTTGTATTTTATCATTGTTGAAAAAGGAATTCTTGTCATTTGAATTTTTTTTTAATTTAACAATTACATTCTTCTGAATTGATTTTTCTAGATATTTTTATCTAACCTCGAACTTTACTCGTTGAAATGAACCTCTAAAAAAGCACTGTGTTGCAATTTCTAATTTTTTTTCTTTTCTTACTTTATATTATTATATGCCCTTTTTCTTGTAGATTTGTATTTTATCATTGTTGAAAAAGGAATTCTTGTCATTTGAATTTTTTTTTAATTTAACAATTACATTCTTCTGAATTGATTTTTCTAGATATTTTTATCTAACCTTGAACTTTACTCATTGAAATGAACCTCTAAACAAAGCTCTGTGTTGCAATTTCTAAATTTGTTATCTAGGTATTTTTATCTAACCTCGAACTTTTGATTTCCTTTCCATATGTTATGCTTTCATTGCTTCTTCAGTTCTTTGAATGTATTCCTACACAATATTTATCTGACTTTTCTCCTTTCTCGTTTCTGAAAAAATTCTTTCCTATTATTTTTCGCAAAAAAAATCATAGATAACGATAGGAAATCTGTATGCTAGAGACCCAGTTTAGAAATCTAGAATTGGCTTACTTTTTGCGAAAATTTTGCGTCAGATTAAATTTTCATTCAATATATTATTGCCCGGTAATATAGGATATAGATCCGGTAATCTACCTATAGTAGAGAGTTTTGCCAAGTAGGCCCTTGCTAAAGAAATCAACCATCAACATTAAACAACATTGTTAGGTAAACACATGTTGTATGCTTGCTGTTAAGGTCAAATTCCACGCAATTGCTGTTCCAGCTATTCTATAATAAGTCATTTGCTTACAGGCGCTCGAAGACAGAATTGAAGACTTTCAAACTCAGAAATGAAGAGCTAACCAAGCACCTAGACAACTTAAAATCGCAAATGAAGCTACTAGTGAGTATGTTTAAGTCACAGGGAAAACAGCTTAAGTTACCAGTTGTAAACTCAGTTACCATCAGAAATTGATGGTCGCTTTAAAAATGTATCGAAAAATGCTCCAAAGTATTTTCCTCTTTTCGCTGCTCAAGAAAGGTTTAATTTTCGTGTTCTTCAATCTGCTCATCATTCATTAGGCATCTTTTACATGCTTTCCTATCTCTTGCATTTTCAATTTTTCTCACCATTTTACCGAAAAATCATATAATTTGATATGGTTCTGAATGGTTCGCGACCAGCGTATTCTTTTTTATGTAAAGGCTATTATAGCTTTCGCTGATAAACAGTATTAAGCAGGTTCTGCTAGAATATCATCCCGTTCTGCTATCTCCAACATTACTATTCCGGTTACTGTTTTCAGGACAAGGATACCCAGAAGGCGATTGGGTTCGAGAAAACATCAGAAAGTACCATTCGACAGTTGCAAAATGCCATTGTAGAACTAGAGTCTCGGTAATTTTGACTATGTGTTATTTTTATGAATGCCTATGAAGGATTTCGCTAGAAAATGCGGCCAATTCTTCACATACAGTAATTTTTTTCAAATCAGAAATACCTAAAATGTATTCGATATGTTTTGAAATAATTTTACTACTGATCATGATTTTTTAAAAATTTTCCTGAAATGTTTGTTTTTTGTTGTTGACATCTCAGGAAAAAGAGAGAGAAGGGAAGGGGGGTATGGAAGTCAGCATTCAGTGTAGTTCCTTGGTTTGAATATGATAATTAGCATTTGCATTTCTGGAAAGCCGCACTGGTATTATTTCTAGCATGTTTTCAGAACATTAACCCTGAAACTGATAACCAATCTAGAAATTAAGCGACATTTTAGCGTCACATTTTGACTTCTAACAATTGTAGAATTGATGTCACAAAGGATACTTCTGTATACTATCAAAAGTTTAATCTTATTTCGCATACTTAATAACAGTATAAACCATTCGATTGTATTTAGAGACGAAAGAATTTCAATCTCTATTGATTGGCTTGCATTTCGATTAGTAGCTTGAACATCATGCTTTCTGTATACAACCGTATGTAGCATAATTTTCTTGTTGCTTTATCATTCTCAACAGTTGCAGTGCAATGTTGAAAGAAATTGGCAAGCTAAGGGGCGAAAAAGGAGACTTGGAGGAGAGCATTTTATCCTTGCAAAAGAAGAAGTATGTTTTTTATCTTTGCCTTTAATGAAAAAGCCTCGCAATTAGGAGCAATGTTTCAAATATTTTGAAAAGCATACACAGGTTTCTTTAAGGATTCACTCTCCCCCTATAGACAGAGTGATTCTTAATTTTTGCCATTTTACCTTTCTTTGAAGTACTTTTTTGCTCATAGATTTAACTATTCTATCTCTGAATCAAGGTAAAAAAATACAACATAAGGCATTTACCGTTTAATTCCGGTTTGCCGTTAGAAATATCATAAATTTTCCCATTTTTAACTCAATGATACTGCTCCGTTTAGTCCCGGCTCTTTGCTAGATTGAGAAAAATTAGAAATTTGCAAAGCTTTGTTTATGAACAAAATGCGTAGACAGATTTGTTTCATCGTGAGTACTCGTTTAGCTAGTCTTCAAACGAAGACTGTCTTGATGGTATGAGTAGAAATGAAGGTAGTGCTTCCATGGCTTTTGTGGCAAAGAAATTTTTAATTTCCTTTTTTTTTTCTTTAAATTTCTTATAACTTTCAAACTAGTTGTTCGCAATGCTTGCAATAGAAATTTCATTTGAATAGATAAATTTTTAGGCAGAATTGACTCTGCACTGAAATTTTCGTGATGTTAGCCAGTGTTATGCTTGTTTGCGATCATTAGAGGCTGACAACACAAGGAAACAATTTGAAACTTCCTATTTATTCACATTCAACACTACCGTTTAATGACACCCGTCCTCTATCCTTTATGCCTGCAATCATTTTCCGATAATGCCGTTAGTTACGGAATCTTGTTTCATTTTGATTTAAAAAAACTTTCCTTCCTTGACTTCCCTGCTTAGCCCAAGCTGTATGGTTTAGCATTCGACAATTTATACAAATTTAACTATCCTGAATTTTCGAATCACAGTACATTGACTTCTTTGCCAGAATTTGCATTGTATGATCACGACTCGTTTTTTTAGTGGGCCAAGATGTCTTTAGGTTTTAAGCTTTGAGTTTAGGGCTTCGAGTTTTTTTAAATAATGACACAGAGTTATTCTGTTATCCTGCAATTCGTATCTGCTTTTGCAAATTTCTTTACGAGATTATACACATTTGCTGAAATGCTAAAATTCATTTTCAATTTTCTTAGTGCTGAACTTGAAGATAGAGAGTACCAAGCCACCCTTCATGTTCGTGACAGCGTCCAGCTGGTGGAAAATGCTCTCCTTGAGAAAGAGCAGGTACGTAGAGCTATCAATGTGAATTCAACCCTCTGAAAGTTTTATTCCATATCTCGATAAACAGTTGATTCTCTTCGTGGCCCAGGCTAAACAGAAAGGTTACAATAGGTGCACTTCTTAAAAAGTTTGGGTGCTTAATCGAGTATGTGGTTTACAAGGAACTGTTCTTGATCCGTGGGCTCCAGGCCCAATCGTAAATTTGTCATTAAGAAAAAAGTTGATGTTGGCCGTGAAGAGCGGTTGTTTATAGCGACAGGTTAACTCCGGGCTTCCTTCGGTTCTTTTTTCAAAAGCCTTAGGGCAGACATGAATTCTGATGAATGACCCGAGACATTCCTTGTCGTACGTGGCCATAGAGTTGTATAGTTTGAGTTTATGTACCAGTATTTGTCTGGGCTACTGCCAGCTCGTCTGCTAAAAGGCCTTTTAGGAAAGCGTATCGTTTTCTCTAACCAAAATCGCCAAACTTAATGACACCAAGATGAGAGACTAGGACAGCCATGCTCTGCCGTTATTCTTTTCATGTAGAGACAGAAACTACAGACCATCAGGTCTACCTTGGTTCGTGTCTTTTTCGGCTGACCGCTACTTTTTGGCGGCAATTTGCTCTTCGCAGCCCCCCTTATTGTTTGTCCAAGTTGTGTTTCATTAGCCATTAAGCTATTATTTTTATAGCTAGTTGTCATTTTTTCTGTTAGATTAACTCTTACTGCATTCGGCATTTTGTTTTCCATCGGCATAGTCTTGAACGATGTTAGATTTTTCCGTTCAAGTATTACTCTCTCGTCCTTTCTTGGTAGCTGAGTATGTTTAGCCCACCTAACGTTTATGTTATCAGCGACCAGACCGTCCTTCATTGTGACATTTTGTAATCGTAAATGTTCAACGAAAAATTCATTTTCAGGAGCTTCAATCGCTATCAGCTTTGAAGCGTACGCGCATAGTAATGCTAAGCATAATTTGTGAATGTTTTGTAGCAAAGTGTTATTTTTATGCGTTTGAATATCCAGTTGGCTCTCAAATATCAAATCATAGCCAAGCTTCTTGAGAAATTTGAACTCATTTTCATCCTTTCGCATACACGAGATGAAAATAGTCTTTGATCTGTTGAACAAGCCATTAACCTGCAACCTCATTTGCAATTCAGTTCTATCCAGACTTCCATTTTTGGAAAGGGGTCCTGATAAAATGGCGTTATACCTGTGGCCTAAATGCCTCATCAACTTGGCTAGTAGCCTGTTGATTCTCTTAGAAAACTGAACATGGAATATCAATATTTCTTGTACCGTTTTAGTACGTTTTTTGTCAAAGAACCTCATGTCTTTAGTGCTAAGGGTATCACCTTCAAAGAACAGCAAGTCTTCGTCTCTTTCATAAAGCTCTGTCAGTATCGATCTTATTATTGGTTTTACCTTCATTGGGGGTCCCCAACGGTTCCCGTATTGGATTGTCCCAGGGCACATCAAGTCAACTTCGTGGTCATCAAGACGCACTGGAAATGCAGTAAACCGTTGAGATTTAAGCAGCCGCCATATTTGTATATCCTCAACAGCAGGAATAAAGTCCACCCAAAAGCCTAAGCGGCGATCGTGGCAAATATTATACACATTAGCTGATGCATGAAGCTTTTCAATGTCCTTGATAGTTACTTCTTTCAGTGAGGTGACTCTGGATAATAGATTAAAGTTGATAATCTGTGATATTGGAAAATGTTTATTAGAATCTATCGTGACATTTTGCTCTAAACTCCTGGATGGAATCAGAGGTGGAACAAGTAATGTTCTTTCCAAAAGATAAGCAAATACCACTGCATTCTCAAACTGAAGCAACTGCTTAGGCCAGCTGACAGGAGCCGGTCTGTATGCAATGAATTTCTCAATAGTGTTTATCTTAGGAAAAAGAAAACCGTCGTCTTCGGGATGAAATCTCCAGGGCACCTTGATTTTGACATCTTTTACTTTTTTCGTAGGTTTTTCCTCAGCAAAATTTCTCAAATTGTCTCGATTACTCGTTGATCCCATTTGTGTTTTTTGGATCCTCCAAAATGGGCCGTGTTGGGTGTGCAAAATGATAAATGTGATCAGTGTCACTAGAATTGTCCCGTTGAGAAATTTCAGCAAAGTCCGCTTGACTCTACGCCAGTTTATACTCCTCTTCATGACCCCAACTTCAAATTTTTCTTGTAAATGAAGTTCGTCGCTCATTATGACTGAGTAAATTCAAAACTGTCAAATACCTGTGTATGGCTCCAACGTCTAGTCGAATCTATTCATTTGCTTGAAATCAGCTTTTCCGAAGTTTTAAAGGAGAATTAATGGAAGATTGAATCGAAAGACACGTTGTTTGTGATCAAAATAGAGCCGAGATGCCACCGGTTGGCTACTATATGATTTTGCTGGTCAACGTTGACCGTGCTGGTTCTTTTTCAATAAAATACTTGCTGTTTCTCTTCGCATACGTCAACACTACCTTTTTGGAAAAGAAACACAGTATAAAGCATAAAAGACCACCCGTAGTTGCTGTATTCTGGGTTATCACATTCATTTTTTGCGACTATTAATTATCGAGAGAAAAAGTCATGTCGTGGATTCGTTTCTTCTTTTAAACTCCAAAAACCTGTTGAGCGGTGAACACCAGAAACGGAGACATTCGAATACACTAACAACAGCAACAACATGGGTGCTTTCTATCCCGCCAATTTTCGAACATTTCAAAATTGCAATTCACAAATGACATAAGCTATTTAAATACAATAAATCAAAAATTTAACCTTTGCAAAGTTTGGTAGCAATTGCCTCAGTTTCAAGTTGTGGCTTCTTTTTAAAAATGAGGCTGCAAACAGTATTTTTGTTGAAACAGTGTGAACACTTTTCGTATTCAAGCGTGAAGCGTGTTCATTGCAAAACGAATCATTGCGAACGGACATCGCTTTCACCAATTAGAACGGAAAGAAACGAATACGGAGCAGTGAGTGTGGACGTAGCCCAATTCTTCGAAGGTTTTTGCAAATGTCTAATTAATTCTAGAGAAGAATCGATGATTTTTTAAGTCTCTTTTACCTTTTCTGTATAATCTGTCCTTTTTATCACCCCCTCATTGTTCTGGTTTTCTTGGGGTCTGCAAAGATTTTTAACAAATTTCTTATCAATAGGTTTGCTTTATAATGTAACAAGATACCCCTCCTTTGGATGAGGTTTTCCGGCTTAATCCCCAGGCCAAGCTCCAAGCAAATGCTCCAAATATAATAAATAAATATTCGACGTAGGCTCTCTATGACTCAGATATCCCAATAGAATATATACAGAATGAATGCATAGTCTGAACTTTGAAGATATCATTCTGTATATTATTATCATTTCCGATGTCACAAGGGTAACCTAGGCTCTAGGCCCTTTACACATATTATTATCATTTCCGATGTCACAAGGATAACCTAGGTTCTAGGCCCTTTACACATATTATTATCATTTCCGATGTCACAAGGGTAACCTAGGCTTTAGGCCCTTTACACTTTAACTCTGCAAATATAACAGCTCGCAAATGTATATAAATTGTCTTTTAGCAAGAAATTTCAATCATCGTAAGTAAAATGCGTTATAATTCATCAAGTCATATACCTTAAGTTGTTTTTAAGTTCAATGGTTTTCTTGAAAAAGTTGCTTGTTTTTTGTAATGCTTCGGCAATGTAATTTTGTTGTGGTCGCTGCTTCATCTATTTTCAAAGGAAACTTTATGTTCCAACCAAGGTTTATTTATATTTGTTGTCCGTTATAGGCATCCATCAAAGAACAGCAGCTTGCTCAAGAGGTCGCCCGACTTCAGGAATCAATGAACAATTTAGTAAAAGATGCGGAAAAGAAGAAAAGAACAGAGGTTTCCTATAATTTCCCATCCTTTTCTGTACTTCTATATCTAGCCTCCTTTACTAAAAATGCAAATTATGTAGATAAAATACACGTAGCATATATCTTTGAATAAATTTTCTGTAGGAGTTTTTCTTAAGGCTATATTGGCGAGGGGTTGGTTTGAATAAGGCAGTCAGTTGCTTTTGTAGGCATATAGTTTGCTAGAAGCTTTGCATTCGGTTTTTGCATACATACAACAGCCATACTTCTAGTATGGGCTAATCTAGATAAATTGCAATAAAGCGATCGGGGGGATGGTACCTTTTTCTGGCTTGTCAAAAACGTAGTTTAAAATAGGTTTGGCCAGAGAAGGGGTACAAGAATTCCATCCTAATGATTGACACTGCGGCTTTGCCATTGGTTCCTTGGACAATGCGTTCTTCCACCTTTCCGACTTGATCGTTTACCCCAATCTTATGTTTTTTGGAAATGCTCTCGTACTTATTCCCCGTTCCTTTTTAGCTTGAAAATCAGAGAGGCCAGCACAATAGACAAACCCAGCGGTTAATGGAAGAAATCCACTATCTTGAGATGGTGAGTGTATTTGTTTAACCTGAATTTATCCGGAGTGTCATATTCCTGGGGATGGTCGCCTGGTCATGGTCTGTTTTTTAAAAATTAACCTTGTGCAAGGTCAAAGCTGTATTCCTTGAACCTATTTTTCCTTCTCTGTCACTTGGAAAACACCTAGAAAGCACCCATTTTAGTCAGTAATGATATCGAGCCGGTTTTTTCTTGAGATCTGGAGATAAAGCTCCCCCTTACTTACAGAAATAAGGAACAATAAAATTTATTTCCATCTCTAGAGCTCGTTGATATAGGAACATTAATGAACAATGCGTTTAACAATTAAAACGAAAAATATTGACTGTTAAATAAAGTGAAAAAGTTTAAAATTATTGGGAAGCAATGGGAAGATTTTCAATTAATCTTGAAAATGAAAAATCTACTGTACTATCTCAAACCTGACCCTCTAGCCATATTACCGACCAGGCTTAAGCATAAGCATCTGTCAATATTCTGCTCGCTTTCTGTCATTAACGCTAGACCATTATTGACGTTTTTTGACAAGAACCTTTAGCCAAGGCTCATTGATATAAAAAATGAACATAGAACAGAAGAATGAAAATTAACAGAATACAGGAGATTTATAATATGGAAATATCATGATTTGACAAGGATGACAAACCTTTCAAAGCTTTCTTTAACTTAATTGCAAATTTTTATTAATTAAACTAAAATGCTTACCAAACGATTGAAATTTGAAAAAGGACAGCTAAAGTAAAGTTTGTTTTGTTTTCGTTAAACAATTTTGAAAATTTAAGGTAGCGAAGAAACATTTTATACTGTATTGCTTTCAAGCCAATCCTCAACTTCAGAGGAACGTGTTTTCACCCACAAAATATTCCTTCTTATTTTTGCTAGTATCTCCATCGCAGATTCCGGTAGCTCCTCCGTTGCAAATACATTTCTTAAAAATCTATACACATCGTTGTAATGATAAGTGTCTGAAAATTTTTCAACCACGTGCACCACGTACGATTTCACGGCATATTCGGCGCTGGTCGAAAACGGCAGTTGCTTCCAGTTCATTTTGATGAAGTTCCAAGCGACAGAGCGACCTAGCCTACTTCCATCAGCAACTGCATTTATTGACTTTGTCACCGAAATATGACGTGTCATGGTTGACAGTTCGAGTAACCTAAAAATGGAAAGCATTTGACTGTATTTGCGGCCGGACTGATCAGCTGGGACTGAAGTGATTGATCAGCATATACGATCCGCTCATTAACATTTCTGACTGATACAAAGCAAATTGGTACAAAGCAGATAGCTACTTGAAAGATCTTGTCATAGTAAGCTAAACTAAGGCTTGATGAGCGGATCCGTAGTCCAGAGCGTAAACATTATCGAAATCCTTGTATCCTGATAGCTCCACTACAAATACATTACAACAAAACATCCTTCGTCATGTAACATAATGTTGTATCCTGTTCAACGTTACCGAGGAATACTAGCCTTTAAGCGCTTAGTAAATTCTACTGAAAATCTTTGCTTAAAAGCAAAAATATAATTATAACAGTGCAGAAAACATATAACAAAAAAGTACCCTAAACTGACCAAGCAAGCCTGAAAGACCTTTGACGAGTTTTTATTGGCAAAGTAAATGAAGAAACCTTCGCGTGTTTGTTGCTACTGTTGTACCTAATGAAGAATCCTACTGTCCGATATTGCTGTGACATGTACTATTCCTATACAATTAAAGGCTTTTTGCAAAGAAAAAGCTGAATTGATTCAGCTTGTCAAAGATATTTGTTCCTGTTCTGCTTCGGTGCCGGATGAAAACAGCCCAGAGCTACACAAATGGATGGATGTTTTATTCACCAAACGAGGTTTTGAATAAGTTTTTATTTTTAAGGAAAGCGTTTATAGGGGAGGTTTAAAGGGGTTTTTACTATCTACCGCTTTTTTTGAATTCTTCGTTGTTAGGTGGATGGTTAATTGTTTCAATTGAGTTTTTCTGTGTTTCAAAACCTTTCCGTTGAAAAATGTCTTGTTGTTCTCCTTAAATCATTCTCAAGATTTTAAAACGCTATTTCCGTTGTTTCGGATACCATCGGTGAACCACATTCTGATGCTATAAATATTTTTCTTTTCAAAGCCATTTTTATTTCATTTTCACCCTCTAGGCTCAATTGGGCCAGTAATAGTAATAATTCCTTAAAACCTTCTTGACTTTGCCAAACAGTGAGCTTCTCCATTAGTACAACAACAAGCAAATCATTTTTTAACCTGATCGTAACTTAGACATTATTTTATTTTATGCAGTACAGTATGCGAAAGTTCCCTTGCTTTTTTATTTTCCCTACCTACTTCTCTTTGGCCATATTGATTAACCGTGCTATTTGTGCGACTGTCTCAATCTTTTTAGTCTAAAATATTACCGAAACACTCTTCTCTTATTTCATGTACCTATAGATAAACCTTTCGACCATTAAAACGTTGAATGCATTCGATTCCTCACCTGTTCAATGCCCATGTATTTCTACTGGCCCCGAGTGCATTCAAAAGAGCTGCCTGTCTGTGTTTTCTTCTTTCAAAGCCTTTTCTGCGAAACACTACTGCCCAGTCTTCTATGGTCCCTTTGGTGACGCCATAATGCATTACCGTTTGTAGTATGTTGTCTGGTATGTGGGTGTTATTATTGATCCAGTCCCTTTCAAAAGAAAACCAGTAATGTAAGATCGTATACCTGGGGATGACCGTGAATAATGGGGCGAATTGTGTATTTTATATAAGATATAAATATCTGTAACAGTAAATCCCCGCAAAGAAAAACCTGTTAATTCTTAAGGCTTTCGTCGAAAAACACTTTCTGTCTACGAAATTGCGGGACAAATCAAATCATCGCATGTTTTATGAAGCTGTTTCAGGTTATTTTAAATTCCTTGAAATTTCAATGTTCCTGGACCATTGGTGATTTCTAAGGGGGGCGCAAGGGGTGGAACCCGCCTTGTTAAAGTTTTTTGACATCACCCTTGTCCTGAACTTTCCAAAAACTCCAATACAGGTTTCATCTTAGAACCAGGACTCATAAGTGAAATAAGCTGAACCGATTTTATTTAGCATAAAAAACCATGGATAATTTACCGAAATATTTTCTCGCTGACAGTAGTCGCATTTGCATCCCCAGCATTCAAAGCGGCACTAACCATCGTCCCTTGCAATAATCTTTCACCTAACGTGTACTTCTCTTCCCATCCGATAACTTCGAATACCGGCTTCGAGATATTCCAAAAATACGTTGTCAGTTCCTTTCTGAGCTTAGATCGTGTTGGAAGGATGACAATCATTTCAGCAAGGTATTGCTTGGCATATTCCCATGGAATCCAGTCCATCTCCTACAACAAGAATTGCTAAGTCAAATTTTTCGATTATGCATAAATCGAAAGCATTCGAAGTAGTGACTAGCTGAATTTTTTTTGGCGAGTGCAATTATCCAGTTAATTATGTTTGGTTGGGTACATCTTAGGGAAGCTTTTTGTCGTAAAAGCCATTTCACTTTGCCAGAGTTACGACAGAGGCGACTTCTTATGTTTGTCTTTTACCGTGGTTCTAGGAATTTTGAAATCTTTTGATAACTTACTTTTGTTAATTTTATTTAACTGTAGAAACGTCCATCTGCATTACGTCCTGCCAGAATGTAGCTTTCTTGCCTTCTTATGTTCCTTTCTTGTATTTTGAAATCCCATTACACTACATATGGTGTCTACCCTATGGTTTTAAACATTTCGCACACAAGGGAAGTTCCGTAAAGGCTATATAGGGACGCTTTGAAGGTCGCGACCGCTCTTTCTATTTTTTCTACTACCCTCTTTGTTTTTTGTAAGTTTATGATACTAATTTTGTACGTTCGTTTGATTGGCATTTGTTCGAAAGTGGACAACCATTTTAACGATCTATTCCTCTTCTTGTTCATCCTACATCTTATGGTTTTACGATTCACCCCTCTCCCCTTTCTAGGGAGTACGTTAAGTACGCATTACCTTGTGGAGGTACGTGGTCAGGCCCAGGGCTACCTTCGTGGGAAGGAGCCTTTCATCCACCAATGTGAATGCGTCTTTGATAATGCTAGCCCTGTCCAAAGCACTGAATACTGTATGGTTCTCTTTCAGTTGCTCTATTAACGCAAGCCAGTTTTCAATACCGTAATTCACGATGTAGTAACCACCAGCATTAACGTTTATTTTCAACCATTTCCCGTCTGCACTCATTGTAGAGTTCTGTGAATTCAAAATATACCGTCGCACTTCCTTTGGATCTTTTGATGTGACGTAGGTAATAGGAACTCGCCATGTCGTATTTCTCCATTCCCCTTCAAGGCAATATTGGATTACCAATGTTATAATATGCTGCTACATAATAGGCAACACACAAATAAATCAAATGCCGCATAACCATACACTTTTTTATAAGGACAGTACTTTTTGTTGTACTTCTATGAAATCCTTGTTTTAGGTAGAGCAGAGCTTCTCCATAGCGAAATGGGTACACAACGAAATTTTCACATGATAGCTCTTTATAACAATTGATAGAATCTATTATCAAAATGTTTTAAAACAATCATTTAAGTGGTCATATGATAGAAACCTTTGCCAGGGGCGGATCCAAACCAAACTTTAAGAAGGGGCAGATGGTAGTGGGGGCGCTGAAACATTTTCAAGAATTGATGACCAGAGTACGCTGTATACAACAATTTCAGATCCATTTTCCGAATAAACAACAAAACTTTGAGGTAATCCTTGAAGCAAATTAATATATCGGTCTCAGAATCTTTTTCACCTGATTCTCATTCTTCAAAAGGGGCGCACAATTTCCAAAAAAGGGGCGCCAGAATCGCTTCAACTCGTCGAGGAAGGGGCAACTGCCCCTAGTGCCCCCCCCCCCACTCTTAAATCCGCCATTTACCCTTGCAGCTAGTATTTTCAGGTTTCAATCTGATTACGCGCGGTAGATTGGTTAGCAACATTATCACTAGCTATATGATATAGTGGCAAGATCCAGTGCAGAACAACTTCGTGCGCTGTCATTATCTGGTAAAAATATGATGGCGCTAACCTCCCTGATAAGAGTGAAATGTATTTGCATGTACCTGGTATTCTTTTTCCTTTGATAAATCGTTGCTGAAAAAGAGATACTTTTCCATCAGCAATATCTGAGGCAGTGATGATGGGAAAACCAGGTTGAAGGGCCCACCCTTCCATTACTGATGAAACGTCGATATTACTCGTTTGACTGAAAAGAAATATTTGCAGGCTGTATCGAGATTGATTTAAAAAGAAGGAGAAGGGAGATGAACTTTCAGGGAGAGGAACTTTCAACCTAAATTCTATTCTAAAACAGTTCAGACCTCCCCTACAACAGACCTTTCGCAACTGACTTGTTCGGCTATTTGAGGTAACAGATATGTTTCGTGATGATAAAACACTTGCGTCAAAAGGTGTTGGATATTGGAAAACGTACTGAACGAAACCTCGAGAAAGCTTGATCCTGTAGAAAGCTTATGGCTAGATTGCTTGGCAACAGATAGACTAAGTACTTCAATTTCATTTTCATGAAAATGTCACTCTAGAACCTCATTAAAAAAGGGTATTATGTTTCTCGAGCTGTATTTTCCTTGAGAAAGGGTTTGAGAGTTGGCCAAAATTATTGCAGCTGGAGCATCCCAACGCCTTGAAAGCTCGTAGTGTATGCTGTGAGTATGCACCGATCCTAAACACGCAGCTTAGTAGATTTAAAACGAAATTTTACAAACTATCATTGAAACGATGATTTAATATGGCAGTTGAAGCTATTGGTACCTTTACACAAGTGTCAATGTAAGTTTCTGTCAATGTATTCTCACCTGAACGAGTCCCAGAAGTCTTTTCGGTCCACATTTTTATATGCGTATTTTTTAAGGTACAACCTCATGCCGCTTTGAAAAGCCTCATCTCCTATGTAATGATGCAACATTCGCACAATTGAAGCTCCTTTCGCGTAAACCAATGAGGTTACACTGTGCTCCGCATCCTGGCTTGACGTCACTTTTTTAGCAATGCACGCGGCTGTTCTGAGCGCATCGTCGGCCATAGCATCGCGAAGATCAATGTTGTAGAATTGTTCCATAATTTGATATGAAGGCAAAGCTGCTGCTGCCCCCAAATACTGGAGGTATTCTGCAACCCCTAGAAATAAAGATTATGGTGCTGACAACGTAGAATTTATTTGAATATACCACTTTATAGTAAGCTTTCCACTGCAACGCATTTCATCGAACACATTTACGCTAGCTGGCTTCTTAACTAGCGCTTCCAGATAAAATCTTCGAAAAATAACTTTCATGTTTGCGAACTAGTTTTTAGGGGGAGGGGGGGCAATATTCAAGGAATTAACAACCGACGTCGAAACGAGGATGGAAAAATTAATTGTGAACTAATTTGGACAATAGAAAGGATTTGACACCGTATGACCATCTTTCTATTCCACATCACGGGGCGTAAACTCAACACAGTTTTAATTTGAGAAAAGGGTGGGTTAGGGGTTGGATTGAAAATGGCCGATTATTGGTGAATTATCTTTTTGGATGAAGCTTGAAGTCGAAACCCCTTTTGGAGTTTAGAACAAGTAGATCTTCTTAGCTCTGAAATTTGAACCTACTTAGGCACGATTATTTGAATTGATGTGTTGTTTTGTTTCCCATTTGTAGTTGTTTTTGTTTCAAAGTGATATTTTTGGATTGGACTGAAGAACTCTTGCAGTGGGCACTTTTACTTTGAAGCTTATTTGGTTGTGCCCCGTGATTGAAGGCTCCAATCTAATAAATCGAGTTATATTTTTAGATGTAAAGTTTTGAAGTTGTCTCATTATAAGAAAATTTTGCATCATTGTTCCAGACTTAAATTTTGCATTATGCGGAAAGAGAAATTCCATATTCTGCGCGTGAAAATAAAGTGTATATATATATATATCTATAAACCCAGGATTAGCAAATTTAAAATGATTTCTCCAGAAAATTTACAAAATATTGATCAGCTGATATTAACACCTCATGAAAAATTGAGCAAGATATCCTGAACTTTTTATTTTTCCAGTCAAAATTACTCTTCAAATGGTACATAAACGCTACCGTATCTCTCAATATTTGGATACACTTTGAAGTGCAAAATGGAATTCAGGCAAAATTACCTTCTTGAATAACAAGGTCGTCCCACCATTTGATAGTGACCGTATTCCCAACCCACTGATGTGCAAGCTCGTGTGCTACCAATAAGGCTACACTCTGTCTCGCAATCATGTCCTCTTGGGGTGCAGTTTCACGGAAAAGAACATCATCTTCGATGTAATTTATCAAACCCCAGTGCTCCATCGCTTTGTACGTGTACGAAGGGGCAGTTATCATATCTAGCTTTGGTAAAGGATACTTCATATCGAAGAATGCTTCAAAGCGCTCTAGTGTTTTGTTTGCCACAGTTAATGCCAAATACCTCCTGCGCCATTTTTTCTTTGGAGACCAAAGTCGAATTTTTTTTCCGTCCCCTTTGGTGGCGGATGTCCAAGTGTAATCAAAAATGACGTAATTAAGAAGGTACGTTGGCATTTTAGGAGTTGTGTGGAACTGATCGATGTTCATGCTTGAAGATACACGGCGCACTTGCAGGGGCATGTTTGCAAGAGATTTGTAGCCTCGATTGTATAACAGTATAAGCGAGAACTTCGCTTTCATGTTTGGCTCGTCAAAACAGGGAAAGTTTCTACGTGCATGAACGGGGAATAGCATTGTTAGAGCCATATCTTTCTGCTCTATCCATTCTTGCTTCTCTGAATCATAAATCATTTCGTTTCCCAGCTTGTAAAGTCCATTAGTTGGATAAGTTCCGAACGGTGCACTGAATAAAATAGTCAAAATGTATGATTGTCCAGTCGTTAGTTCTTTTTCTGCCTCTATAATAAGATATTCTCCATAACTGCGTGTGCTTATGACACTTACTGGCGACTTCGACATGGTTTGCAACTGAATCTTGCTGTACTGCATGTTTTCTGGATCAGTGTGTAATATGATGGTATTTGTGTTTTCATAAACCCGAATTAAAATTGCGACTTTGCCGTGAAAAATGTCACTTGACATATTTATTCTTAGTGTCAGCCAATAATGCTCGGGCAGAATCCTTCGTGGCAAACGATAATTCTTCCATAGTTCATCCGTGTGCGTGCTTGCACCAGTCGTTTTTCTCGTGCGATTCGAAGCGTGAAATTGTTCACTCTCAGTGATTGCTGACTCTCTATTCAGAGATACGACTGTGCCTATCACTGCCGAAATAATCGCTAGAACAACTACCGTTATGACAAAGCATACCATTTGCTTCTTTGAAATGAAAACCCTGCCCCTCTTTTTCCTGTCATGGTCGTCACATGGCAAACGATATTCCCCTCTACGATCGTTTTGATTAAGTTCCATGTCAAAAAAGACAGTAACGTTGCAAAATCTCACCGAAAACTTGCATGAAAAACTTCTGCTGCAATGACTTCAGAATGTTTCTTAACTCAATATGCGAGACATTCTCCAACAGTGTCAAACTTGATTACTGCGTTGATGCATGGGGTCTTTTGGAGGTTGTTTTTGCTGGTTGAGATATCCACCCACAGAGCGTTACTAGTATTACTTTCTGTCAACGATCAACGTTCTCATATGAACTGCTCTCTTGTTGTTGCAAGTCATACAAAACCTATAGGTCAAATCCAGCGTGTACTGAAGGAAATCTATCTTTATGCGGCTTCATTCAACAACCCACAAGTTTTCGTTCCAGCCAGAAATTTTGGAGATCACCTTCCTGCTCACACTGTTGATCGCTTTTTGTGTCAATGTCACTTGTCATTGAGGAACAATATAGCTTCCGCTTTTCCGTGCTTTGCTTGGCTCCTCACCCTCAGGGGCCGACTAGACGGGGGTCTTGCGCAGCAATGTTGTGAAGTAAACAGGGGAGACATGATAATCACATTTGCATATTGCGTCACTTTATAAATAATAAGTTTGATTTTGCAAGTTTTAAATGGAGCGCCCCTTGAAAATCAGTTTTCCTTGGGCCAATACTCCTGTGGAAAGTTGATAATTAAATGAAAATATATAGAATGAAAGTGCCTGGCTATACTAAAATAACATTGTTTTTATGACGTTTAAGTTTTTGGTTAGGACAACCTCACCAGAATCTAGAAAATATGGCGCTGAAACCTAGGGCTGTCGCGAGACAGGCCCTGTTTGGGGGGTGTGGACTACGAATTAACCTGATTAACAATAATAACCTGAAATTCTTTAGTTGCTAACAAAAAGCTCGGCAATACATTTTGCCAATCAAACTCTGTGGCATATAATGCACAATCCATTTAAATTATGATAACAGTCTTTTTCTAACAGCAAGAAAATTTTCGAATTTTGATGCTTCTAGTTCCCTGGAAAACGCACTCTTTTGCACAAATTTTACTAAAGCAATCCTCCTAATCCTATTGAAAATAGAATACGAATTGTGATGTAAGAGATTATGACGAGCTGCTACCACCACACTGCTGTGGAGGAGGGGATTCTAGCGTGAATGTGGAATCTCTTGTTTGATTGTAATCATTTCTAGCTAAGTCTTAATCTATGCAGTCATTGCTTCCATGTGGAAGTAATCCTTGCGTAAAGAAAACAAAGCTCGATGCTGTCAATCCAAAGCAAACTTCTCTTCTACTTCTTTGTGCTGATTATCTAAATATTATCCGAAAGACCTTCCCAGCAGGTTGCAGGAGAAATATTATGTTTCGAGTCGATACGTTACACCTACAAATGGTAGTAATAAAATGAGTAGCTTTGAGTTATATGATCATGATGATAAAGAATTTGCTGTTGGCACGCAGAGTAAACGGGGTGATTTTCGCAATAAAGCATGGATTTATGAATTTTACCCTGTAAGTGAATTAACATTTGCGACGAGTTTTTCGCTGCCAGTATTGTTTTTGTTTACACTATTCTCAATTAAACATTTACTGTTAGTTTATATTTACTTAATATCACAATAAACGAACAATATGTTACGAAGCGTTTTGCCACAGAATAAAAAATAAAATTGATGCGCTCTGCTGTTGCCGCCTATCAGATAAACTTATATTTGTCGGACCTTTCCACTTCATACAATGCACCTCTTGAAGGTTTTGCCATTTCTTGCGATTTTGTTCTAAAGCAGAGAACAGCTTTAAAGTCAATGCTTTCACACAAATGATACATCAGCCTCCACTGTTTGTCACAGCCTTCCACCTTTTAACGTTCATAAGGACTGAGCTATATCCGAGGAAATAAATCTTGAGTGGAATTGTCTAGCAAGAAAGGGGGGACAATTGGTTTTTTTGTTAGGTTTGCCACTTTTTCCCTTTTAATCTCCTGCATGATATCCTAGAAACACACCTAAAAACGTTTGGTTTTCGTCTCAGGAAGGAGCAGAGAAACAAGCCCAGCTAGAAAGAGCCCTTCGAGAAAAGACGGCTGTTGAAAGGGAGCTTGAGAAGGTACTGTTTTCTCTCCTGTTCAATTCTTTTTCAACCAAGAAACGTACAGTCTCACTAGCATTTGGCAGAAATGAGCATCCTGTCTCCTAGAATTAGGCAGCTATTTTAACCTCTGTTTTATAGTTTAAAATGAAACTAATTTTTTGAACATTTTATTTTTTCATAAAATGCTTAAAATAGCACCGTATATCGTCAATTTGCTAACGAGATAGTGGAATCCGTTGATATGAGTGATATAGGTTAGAAATAGATGAAATAATTAAGCTACAGAACATATTACATAGTTTATTGCAATAACATATGAACAGGATCCTCGTTTGTCTTCTAATATTCATGAATTCCATCATAAATAGCTAGTAATGTATTTATTGATAAAAGACAAAGACAACCGAGTTCAGATTATTGCAAGTTTTATATCTAAGCTTTTAACTTGACCTTGTGTATTTATGTACTTTTAAAGACAATGTAATCCAATGTACGTGGCTTTGTCAATAGAGTCAATTGGCTTATAATCTTGTGTTTAATTGTTAGATGTACAATGATGGCCCTTCGGAGGCATCAAGAGCCGGACAGAGTATCGAAGAGCTGCAGAAAAGATTATCCAGAATTGAGGTATCGAGAGACGATGCTTTCCAACAAGCAGATCTATTGCAAACATCATTAAAAAGATCAGAGCTGCAGTAAGTCTGTTCTGCTGTAAAATTTAAAAAAGTTGTAAAATTCTTTTACAATGCTAGAAACACAACTTGTATAATATTATAGCTATGTTGTGTCGCCTTCTATTTTGTTCTTCTTTCTGAACCCATAAAGATTTGCAACGATTTTTTGGTGAACTTTGGCAAATTTTTTCAATTTTTGATACAGCTCATCACACTAGCTTTGATCTGTATTTTGGCAGCTTGTGCAGTTCTTTTATGCCAATTAAAAAAATTTTAGACAATGAAGCAAATATAATTACATATAGGAAATATGGATGGGATCTCTAATTTAAATTTCGAAAGAAAGTTTTTAGATAGATTGAAAGCAATGTCTTAATTGTAGATTATTTAATCTGTATAAATTGATTCGCTGTTTTCTCTTTCAAATATGGAATAGGCTTTGTCACGACAATGCGGTTAACTTTCTCACATTTCCTACATTTTCTTCCAAAAAGGAATCAGAATTCTTCAAACACACACTGGCTTGACGTATTCTTTATTTTCTCCTTAATTCGGCTTGCATCTATTCTCCTTTCTTTAATTTGTTCTTTTTCTTTTACCTTTTCTTCTTGGTTTTTCTTCTCTTTTCTCTTCCTTTTCTTCTTCTCCTCCATCTTCTTCTTCTCTTCTTTCTCTCTTCTTCTCCATATCTTCCTTTTCTTATCTTCTTAACCTTCCTCTTCTTTCTCTTCTCCTTTTTAATTTTAATTTTCTCATCTTATTCATACTTTTATTCTACTTCCCTTTCCCCTCGTTTCCGTTCTTTCTTCACTTCTTCTTCTTTCTCTTATCTTTTTCTTTTTATTTTCTTATTTTTTATTTTCGTCATTTGCATTCGACAGATTTTTTTATCAAAAATAGTACATAATCTAATTTTCTTCTTAAGCTGGTTGTAAAAGCCATGTCCAGCCTGTCACTACTTTCACATTTGACATTGCTGGTCTTCCTTTACCCTTTTCCCCTCGGTTTGTAGCAAGTTCTATTTCATTTGCTCTTGCTCTGTGAAAGGTAAGAACATATCTTTCGTTACTGCATAGCATTTTTGCGATCTATTAAATACCCTTGTGAAAAAGTCCCTTTAAGTGGCTCCAACCCTTCTACATGCACATTCAAACTTATATCATATATTTGTATATAATTCAACTTATTTTGTTATTTATTCGAAAAGTATACGGTCAGCCAGAAACTGTTCCTTTTCAGGGCAGAAAATGAAAAGAACTTCCTAAAATCTCAAATTGCTGAATCGAAAAAGCGCATCAAAACGTTAGAAGAAGAAGTTGAAACAACGTGTAAATCAAAGTTGCAATTGCTTGGTGAAGTGTTTATTTTATTTTCTATTTTATAAATACCATAATGAAACAGTATGAAGCAATTGCTGGATAAAGCTCTAAGGCGAACTTACACTGAACGGTTTTTGGGTGTTTAATCTAATGACCACCAAAACTAGTAAATTTTTTTTTAAAAAAATATAATTTTCTTCATATTTAAGGCATGTTTCACTCACTCTGCGATGCTTTATACTAAAACCTCTGCCGCCCCCTCCCCCCTCCCATTTGTGTTTTCTCAAACACCCATACCCAGTGAATGCCTTGTTTTGAAAGCTTTTCTCAGATACACCCTTTGGTATTTTTGAAAAGGTATATCGTTTTTAGTTGCTTTAGTCAAATTTGCACGCATAAAAATAGACATTGTCAGCAGTTTTTTTCACATTTCACTGCTTCATTGCCTCTCATCTACGCCTAGTCTCGATCAACTTTTATTCAAACAGTGCATTTTTATTTGTTTCAGATGAAATCGATCAACTGAAGAGGGGGGCGTTGCTGTCCAAAAAACAAAAGGAAAATTCTGACGTAAAAAGTGCTGCAGAAGTAAATATTGTCATGTCTTTCTATGCAAAATGCCTGAATTTTTAGCTAATAGTATTTTTTAAAACCTTCTTTAAAATTCCTTATTAATGTCCACATATATGTAGCAAGTTCCAAAACAATTTTGGAAGTTTAATATCGTGATGCTTGATTCAAATATTTTGTTTGAACTGTGCTTGTTTGCCAATTCGTACCAGTACCATTATTAGGTTGAAATGAGTTCTTTGATAAATCAATACACGTTTATGGCTTAGTTATGGTTTGACCGCAAAATGCAACTGCCAAATCTTTTTTGTATCGCAGTACAAAGAAGCGTTCTTCTTTGCCTCACGTTCAAATTTGATCAATTTCATTTATTTTTGGACATAAGTAGTCACTTTTATGTGACAAATTAATTACCAGGTGACAGTTTTCATTTCAAATTATTTGCCATATCGATTCTTCCTTCATTAATGAGTTTGTGTTATCGCAGATTTCTTCTTTGAAACAAAAACTCGAAATCCAAGCTAAAGATTTTGAGTCAAGAATGAAAGCAACGGAGAGCATTAATCGCCAGACTGTTGATGAATTACGAGAAATGTTTACAGCACAACAAAGGGTTGGGAACAAGTAAGCACAAACTTTGTTATCCATTTCGATGAATTGAACTTTTTAAGGGTGTCTCCAGGTGGTCTGGCATAATAACAGTCTTCGAACGTTTTATGTCGGTATGTGTTCTTGTTAAACTCAAGGTCGTATCTGAAATATTAAATGAAAGTATTTGAATGTATCTACAAGTGGTGTATTAGGCTTTCCCCGGTCAGGCGGCCTTACTCTTAAGGACTATACATTTTAAGTGACGTTGATAAATAATTCTTTATAGTACCAGAAGGATAGCATTTTAAACAGTTAATCGCTTTATTTTTATACGGCACTTTTTTCGAATATTTCACATACATGGCCAGGCTTCGTTGTACATTCATGTCATTGGGAGGGAGCATTCTATTTCTCGATGTCACTATTCTGTACCTAGAAGTTTTAGATCAGTCATACAACGTATTTATTTACTTTTTTACCGCAATCAACATGTTTTCTCTGAAATTCCAGATGGCGGGATGAATCCAAGTTCATGTCACAGAAATTTGAATCAAACGTCAACGAACTTAGGTGATTATTTCATTTTATCAATTTTTTTTTTATTTAATTCTGTATTTTCGGTAAAGCTATAAGATAGGAATGTTGCAGGGAGCTTTAGATAGAATTAGTTTTTGGCCCATTAGCATTTTCCTGACAACATGCAAAGCCCAATTTTTAGGCCGTACTAAGAGGAAAGCTTTTTACATCCCCATTTTCAAATTTCAGTTTTTGTTCAAATATTTTAGACAAGAAACATCAAGACTGCAGCGTAAGAGTGATGACACGTCAAAAAGGCTTGCTGTCGAACAGCAAAAATCTGAGCAAGTGAGAAACTGTTTTATGTTATTTTTCCCCTTGTCTTACGTTTTTCTTGTATACCTTCAGGAAACTTTGAAGCTTTTCGTCTGGTTTAAGACACGCTCTACGGGATGAAGAGAAGCTTGCACTGTAATTGACAGATATTTAAAGCGCATAGTATAATGACGATGGTAGCAGAAAGTCTTTTCTTCCAGACAAAGGATCTATTTTGAATACAGTCTCTTTGAAATCATTTACCGCGTTAAGCACTAGATAACACAAAAATGGCAACAACTTATTCGACAATTTATGGCTTAATTCTTTGCCCCTTGTTTGGCCCCCCAGTTTTCGAAAGCTCCATTATAAATTCAATGTTTTCCTCCAAAGCTGTTCAATCGTTTTCTGACTTTGTTAGGTTTGCTCTCTTTATTTTTCTCAATGCGATCTGTATTGCATTTAATTAACAGGCTAAGGGCCCTGATAAGCGTTTTGGTTTTGTAACCGAGGTGAACATTAATAAAATTTTGGCTATTTTCTGTAGTAGAAAAATTAATTCTTGACAATCATTTGAATTCTGTATTTGTTGAGGATATACATTCTTGGAGTGGGTGCGCAGGGTAAGCCCAAACCAAGATTCTCGGCATCCTATTGAAAACCCTTTTTTCTCTGGAACCCAGCGTAGAGAAATACCAATACCATCCCAGTAAACCTTGGCAATCTACCATTGCTTATCAAAGTTCTATGATTTGAAATTCTGTGTAATAGAATGATTTGCGTGATCTCATGGAGGTTGGATGTAAGACATAACTACTATGGAGACATTTTGCCAATCGACTTTACAATGCTGTTAGCCTTTTATTTTTCGAAGTATAGTTCTTCTGTTGAAATTCTAATGTTCAAGATGCATTATTGTTAAATAGATAAAACTCAGCGGAGTAACAGACCAACGTTACTTTTAGTTAAAGAGTTAAGGGTCCCGAACCTTTACAGGCCCCCAGCAACAATTTTCTTTGTTCTTTTTTCTAGCTGGTGCTCGTTACGCCACTAATAAAACTATTTGGCATAATGATAACAACCTTGATAGAGCTTTACCAAGGACATACTTTTCTAGGGAGCGCTAAAAATCGGTGCCTTGTAGCTAATTTTGAGCCACCACGACACTAGTTCGCAAAGTAATGGCTAACGTTGGCCCCTGTAAGTAAAAGTTTGACCCCTGGTTAGCCCCCTCCCCCAGATTTTTAAGGCTAGATTCGCCACTGGGCTTATTTGATTTCATTGCGGTGCTTCATTAGCACCCTACTCGCTCTTTAAGTTGGCAAATTCGGCTTTAGGGAAAACTAAAAACAGTTTTTTGATACCTTTTTCTTCTCAGATGGAGAAAGACCTAATGGCAACACGTGCATCCGTAGAAAAACTGCAGAGAATAGCGGCTGATGCAGAGGCGAGAGCAGATGCTGCCAGCACCCAGGTACTCCTGTCTAATGTTTCGTTGTTCTGCTTATAATTTTGGGGCTTGCGACTGGACATCCTCTCTTCTCCATTATCCAAAAGTTCAAAAACCTTCTCTAGTAAAGTCGTGCAGTTTTTGGTGCAGAACTTTAAAATCTAAGAAATGAGTGATGCAGTTCGTATCGAGAGGCTAGGAAACGTCATCTTTTGCCTGCCTTTATGACATACTTGCATTTGAATTTTCATAATCATATGAAAGGTTTACTACCCCCCTCTACCAAGTCAGGTACATATTCAAAACCATTTTTATCCAATATTACACTGCACATATAACAATACTAGGAAGAAGATTCTTAAATTAGGTTAAATCAACATGTGGGATTGTTGCATTACTTCATGCCGTGCTTCTTCAACTGTCGGTTTTCACGGGTCCTTGGTCGACGATTTCTCCATAAGAATTTATCAAGCTACAAAAAGGTTAAAAATCTAATGCTAGGTTACAGCAGAATGATGAGGAAATAGTGTCATGATAAGTGACTATAGTTGAAATTGTATTTTGTAAATTCGAAAGATAAAACGTATCTGGAATTCTAAAGGGTGAACTTGGGTATTTTTTTTCTTTTTTTAAAGGATATAAATTTGTACTCTGCGATATAAAAATGATATTATGTCTTTAGTACTGTGTGACAGACATTCTGCGTGCTTTGCATTTAAATCTTAGTAGTGGAAGGCAGATCAATACTAAAATATTCTTATATTGTTCAGGTCCACACTCTTTTGAGCCGTGAGAGACAGTTGCTGCAAGAACGAAAGGAGCTTAACCGTAAAATTGACGAACTTGAGCTGGAAATATCAAGACCATCAAGGTATTTATCATTTATGAGCAATCTTTGATAAGTTTCTATATCTTATAACGTCTTGCCTTTAGCCCTAGAGAGCCCTTTCTTTAATTTTTTGAGCAGGGAAAGCTTTGTCTTTTAGTTTTTTGCATGACGCAAATGCATTTCTGATTTAATTTTCTTCATATTTCTGCACAGGATGTTTGCTTGCATAGCTATTTCGCACTACCATCGCAAAATAAATGCCCTTGATTGCCGAACTAGGTGTTAGAAATATCTCCTTCGATCACTTACTTTTGATTTTTTCAATTTATTCCATAATCCTTCTAGTCAATTGAAGTCGATTTTTCTAACATTCAGCAGTGGCAATTATCCTTGCCCATTTTGTTAGCAAATTTCTTATCGCACATCTCCTAGTGAAATTCATTCACAGTGGCCCCGAGTAAGTCCTTCGAGTTGATATTTTATTATAGTTGTCTTTCTGTTGCAGACAGAAGCCAATGAATCATTGGAACTTTCTTGGAAATGAAACCCCGGATAAATACGACCACCGCGCTACTCCTAATGGCTACTAGCATTGAAAGGCCAGTATAGTACGCATTCAATGGCAAGATGTCTCCATAACAATCATCAACTGACTTTTTTAACTACCCATGTATCCGTTCGTCTAAAAAATTACACCTTTGAAAAATTTTAACCTTTCTAGTATTTAAATGATGCATATTTCATCTTATCAAAAGTTGTTTATATTTTTAAAGGCAAAGATTATTTACGTTTTGAAACTGTGTTTGATTTTTTTCTGGACTGCAGCCTGTAAGGTGAAAGGAAAATAAAGCTGCAACGCAAGGTTTAAGTCATTCTATCTTCATTCTATTGCCCAGACTCAAGAATCGTGGTCATCCTTCTTCTAGCGAATGACCTAAGACTTACAATACCTTCCTAAAACAAAAATATGAGGCCGCTTTTTTGAACTCTGCTTAAGCCAATCGTATCAGACAGAGTTGTTAAATGTACTTGTTTTCCAGTCTCGCGTGTTCATCTTCCATCCCATTGATCTTCTTTTGAAGAGGGGTGTGAACCTCAGAACACGACCAGAGTTACCTCGGCTAGAATACTCATTTTGACTAAATTTGCTGTTCATGTGAAAACAGTCGTTTTTATATTGCAATTCTATCTGGATTAGGGGTTAGGTATGGTGAAGTCAAATGGAATGAAAAGCCATTACTGTGTAAGCAAACCGTTCGTGCCATATTGAACGATTGTGTTTTATTGCAAATGCTACTTATTGAATGAACTCTCTTCTTAAAATATACCAGTGTCGCTGATTAAAAAATAATTGAGCAATGGCCATGAATCAGCTCAAGAAATTTCTTCGGAATAGTTTCTTCAAATCTATTGCGTCCTTCAAACGGTCACTTTTGCTGTAATTTTGATGCTTTGTTTGTTGCGGCGGCACTTGACTGCTGCAAGAAATTATGCTACTGCGTATTCATTAAAATGTTTCTGGCCAGAAAGCTATCTCAATATTCTTTGCTTGGGCTGCACACTCAGGCAGGTATATTGGATTACTCAATTTCAACTTACTAACAATAAACCAGGTGTGATGTAACTTTATGTGCAACTCGAAATATGTTTTAGACTAATACATTGAATAAATTTGCGAGCCACCGCTGGGCTAAGTATAAGTCTAAGTATAGAAAACCCTTTGTTAGAACACCAAGGTGATAATCAGAAGAAAAAACATGTTTTTGGAATTTTTTCTTAACATAACGAGCAGTACAGTAGATTTTATCAGCTTAGCAACTATCATACCAAAAACGGTATGTCATGCAAACAGGGCCTATTTTAGTGTGGTTTTTCCCACATTTTGTGGTCTTGGAAATCCAAAATGTGGTCTTGGAAATTCAAAATTTTGGAGTGGGTTTTTTCATTTTAGCTGTATTTCTGTTATAAATATGTTTTTCTGTTGATAGAGTTCTGAAACTTTATAACATAACAGAGCAATAAATGGACTCCCCCATTATTAATTTTCAAAAATCTTATAGCCCTCTGCTCTTATTGGAACCCCCCGCTTTTTAAATTTGTTGGCTCAGTGTGTTCTTCTACATTAAGATAAGTATGAATTATTGAGCTTCTAGCGATGTTAACCTTTAACTACTGTTACTGTCGGAGTCCATGAATAATTGGCTACAATAGAAACATATTTGTAATCGTGTTATGTTGAATATTTTTGTTTTACACGATTAAAGAAAAACGATTTCTACGGCAACGGTCGATATTTTGAAATTCCATGCTTTATATACAGCCTTCTTTTCTTAAAATGTGGTCTTGGAACATTTCCATAAAATTGGCCCTGCATGCAAAACTATAAATTAGTGTCCTTAGAAACAAAGTGTTAGTACGAAAATGTTGAAATAGAAACAGTGCTGAAAAATATGATCACAAATTATCCAAAAAGAACATCAAGCCTCGGCAAAGATTATTTGGTACTTATGGAAAGATTATACACCATTTCTACACCATTTCTGTATGATTCGCCGCTACGCATCACTGCACACGCCAAATCCGCGTGCCGCCTAGGCTCCAGGCTCCTAAGAGTCTGCGCCTTCCTCCAAGCAAGTCTTGGTAACTGCAGTGCCAATGGCAGCATGAGAGCTATCGAGACAAACTGATGGCCTCTAGTTGTTTATGAAATAAAAGTGACTTGGAGTATTAAAAAGAGTTTGGAAATGCCGAACGATCTTCCGCAAAAGGAGAACACTCTTTTCAAGAGAGTTTTGGTAGGTTTTCAACATTTTAGCGCAAGAACCTATGCTAATTACTTAGGCCCATCTCAGTCATTGGTCAATCTTCTCAAAGACATTCTCTCCCAGTTTATCTAATTACGTAGAAAACTGTGGAGCTTGACCTGTTGGATAGGTCTTTGCTTATTTTCTACATTGGCAAGGTATAAGTGTCATTTTTCACGACTTGAATCTTCAAAATTGATCGATTATCACTTTGAGAAGGTACGTCGGAATGTCCGATGTCTAGAAACTCTTATATTTTAAAACGTAAATGTAGAGATATTTATTCATCGAGCGTTCTATTGTATTATGCTAAGACAGATAATAGGTCTCCTAATTCTCTGGGTATGTGAAAGTGAAGCATTATTTTGGGACGACTAAAGTAAAGACGTGATTTTGCGTATAAGTTGCCCATTCAATCCTTTTTTAGCCCCCTTTCCCCTAACCTGCTTATTTATTTTTTCGTAATTGAAACCCTGTATGTGTGCAATTATGAATATGCATAATTTTTGTAATCAATTTTGCATTTCCCTATCATTGTCATAAATGGACAAAAATTATAAAAAACTGTTAGACAAGTGTTCTATTCCTACCTCCTTAAAAGGGGCAGCACTGGTAGGCGATAAGTATTATGCAGCGAATTTCTACAAACACTTTCAGTCCTGGTAGTATGAAATTTGCTGGTGTGCTGGTAATTGTATGCTTTCAAGGTCAAACATTAAGGCATTGACCTTACAATTTTTTGAATAGGAGGTCTTTGTGAACTGTAGAATTTTTATAGAATTCTAGAAAAAGTTTGTTGTAAGTAAAATGCAAACGAGCTTTGAAATTGATGCCACAAAATGTTATGAGCACTGAAAGGATATTTTAAGGTAGACAAACAACCTTTTGAGAAATATACCTGATACCAGCTGCTAAAATCTATCCATACAATGTACTTTCTATGGTTTTTCACAGGTAACCTAAAATGTTGGAAAGAGCTGTTGAAACAAACCCCCTTAACACGTGCCTGGCAGCATGCATGTTTAGTCAAGCCTTTATGTTCAGTCTCTCTCCATTGAAAGTTGGGGTGTTCACCCTTTAAAAGTTATCTATCAACATTGAGCTGAGGGGTGAGGAGGGGGGATGAAAAAACTTAACATTGTCTGTCAAAGATTTTCTGAAATTGCTCAAAATTGACTAGTTGGCATTTTCAGTAATTTTCTAGCCCGCACCCCACCCGTTTTACCTCAGTTTCAATGATATTTGAACTTTATCTTTAAGGCTATAATTTGTATCAATAATTTGTAAAAGTGTAATAATAATTTAATTTGTAATATCAAAAATTGTGATCAAAGGTACCTCCTAAATGTGCGACTGTACTGTTTGGCTCCCACATTTAGGAGGTTCCTTTGATCACAATTTTGGGACGTGAGTCTGTATTGCAGCCTTAAATGATAGTTCTAGGCTACCATACAGAACATTAACAAGTAAGGGTAAGAAGGCCCTTGGAACAATCAACCAAGGTGGTGCTGGCTGACCATTTTGTTCATTTATTTTTGTGCTGTTGGAGGGCCAACACTACCACAAATAAAACCCAAAACCTTTTTGAGGGGGTTGAAAACCAGAGACAATGGCCTTCTTCTACCAACTAGCAACATCTTGTTCATGCAAAGTTGCAAGCCATTTGGCCATTACCTAATGCATGAAGAAAATAAATAGAATGTTAGCATCCTAAAAAACCTGGAAACACCAAGACATTTGTTGGGTGGCTAGGGTTGCAAAAAACTTTGCTCTCCACAGTCCGACTTTAGGTTGTCTTGCAAATGTGTGTGGAAAAAACTATACCAACACAATGTGTACTCAAAGCCAATGCACACTTGCACGCTTGTTGCTTTGCCCTTATTAAAGACACAATGTGATCCTTACTCACCAAAAAAGACAGATCATGTCACATATTACACATGATTAAATTTCATTTAACCAAGGTTAGTCATCAAGGGAAGATGTCATCAGCTACAGAAGGTTGACAATATTTGATTTGTTTTTTGCAACCCATCCATTGCCGACAGCTGTGATTGGTGTGATAAATAAAAGATTCTAGCAATGAGTGTGAAAAGCAACATTCAGAGAGATACAGGATCAGTTTGTGTGACATTTGATAAATACAGTGTACAATGTAAATGAAATAAATAGAGAAAAGACAAAGCTCTGAAGTGCTAAAATTTTCAGAAGTATGAAGAACACTCTGATTTTCTTTGAGTGCTTATTTATATGTAAGTGAGGCTACAATTTACCAACAGTTTACCATACAGTTTTAACCATCCGCTCAAACAGGGTGTGTGCCCTATAATGGTTCTAGCAAGCAAAAGTTGGTAAATAGTTTGCTAGCCATGGGGCTCGCTTTTATGCAAACTACATTCTCGCAGCAAAATTCAGAATATGAAATTTGGTATCTTGTATCAATTGGCCATTTACTCCTTTTATTTTAATGAATGGAATATCTACTGGATTTCATGTTTTTGTATTTTGTCCCTGCCTTCCAGTGTCTCACTACAAAGAAGGGAAATGAAGAAGTCTGTGCAAGCCTTGGAGTCTTATAGACATATTTCTTTTCTCTTGTTGAAAATTAGGTCAAAGTTTTGGGTTTTACCCTGCGCCCCCTCCCATCGCCATGTTGAAGATCTATTTTCAGGGCTGTTGAAACACACCTCAAAACATGTGCCTGGCAGCATGCATGTTAAGTTTGGTCCCTACCCCTCCTCCTGTTCAAAGTAGGGGTGTATGTCTTTTAATAACAGAGCTATCAACATGTAAATATAAGACTTACTGAATAATTTCTTTCCAGCGTTGCTATGAACAAAAGCAATACAAAAATGGACTCAAGTTTTGTAAACAAATCTTGAGTAACCCAAAGTTTGAAGAACATGGAGGTATGGAGATACATTTGTCATTCCTTCATCAAAGTTGACATCATATTTTGTGCAGATTTAGATTATGTCCTTGTTGAACTGATGAAATTTTTATAGATTTAGTACTAACATTGTATTCAGATCTTTCATAGCTACATTGATTGCAAGACTGCCTACACAAATTTTTATCTAATTTTTTTTATAGTTTTGTTTCTACTTTTTTATCTGTAATTTCAGTTTTTCTAAGGAATACAGTAGCAGAAGAAGAGGATTCAGTTTTTTCTTTGCAGTAGATTTTACAAAATATCTTGCCTAAGTATTGGGTTTGTGTTTACATCAGATTGTTCTTGATTTCTTTAGAGACTTTGGCCATGAAAGGATTGACTTTGAACTGTCTTGGAAGGAAAGAAGAGGCCTATAACTATGTTAGGCGAGGACTGAAAAATGATCTTAAGAGTCATGTTTGTATCCTTTGAAAATGATTAACTGGAGAATGTTAGCAATAGCATAATAAGTGAAATATTTTTAGTAGCTATATAAACATCTATATATATGATGATTTTATTCATTGTGTGTTCTTCCTTTGAAAGAGTTGTTCTGCCATATTGCCCTTTTCAGTCAATTCTACATGGTTATCTCATGATCTTAACAATCCTGTCATGAATCTTTTGCTATGAATAGATTCATTTTTCATCTTATGCAAATTTTGCAAATGAGAAAACTTTTAGTTTCCTTAACAAGACAAAGGTTGGCATGTTTTTGGGTTGCTGCAAAGATCAGACAGAAAATATGATGAGGCAATTAAATGTTATAGGAATGCTCTAAGGTGGGAAAAGGTATGTACATTAAAATTTTGTTGGTTGTATTTTTGCTTATTGGTTACACAATCCTCAATTTAACTATTTTTACAGAAAATGTTGTGTTTCCATTTGACATGTCTCAATATCCTTCAATGCAACTTTGAAATAACTTACCCAGCAAATATTTTAGGTTTGCTTTTTTATCTTCTTATAGGACAATATCCAAATTCTCAGAGACCTGTCTCTGCTACAAATTCAGATGCGCGATTTAGATGGATTCAGGGTAAGGCTTGTTCTGAATTTTCTCTATTATCATAAAATGTGAGTTTTAAAATCATGACACCCAAAGATGCATTCTTTTGCTTTCCATCTATTCTCTCAAGATGAACATTTCATCAGTGAAAGCAACATGTTTTTTTTGTTTGAGCAAAGGATAGTTTGCTTTTATTCTCCTGAATGTATGCACACAACCTGCTTTGTAAAATTTGATAAAAATCTGATAAGAGCTGTTATTTTTGTTTTCAAAACTTCAAACCCTTTTTGCAGGATACGCGATATAAATTGCTGAAGTTAAGGCCAGTGCAAAGGCAATCTTGGATAGGCTATTCTGTCTCATATTTTCTACTTGGTGGGTATGACATGGCATACTCTATCATGGATGAGTTTAGGAAGACTCAGTACCCAGAGAATCAGGTTATTTATAATTATTTATAACAACTTGTCTAGTTACTAGTTAAGCAAATGGTTAGAAACTTGTGATTAAAGAAGCATGCTTAAGGCAGTCTGTCCCCTATTGTGCTCAACTTTATTTTCATGAGAGTGAAATTCAAGCATCAATGAGCTTGAGCGATAATTAAATGAGACCGATCAGAAACAACTTTGATCCTCGAGCTTTTAAGTCAAATGGCTGTGTTCCCATTGAGTTGAAGCTGTGGTTAGACAAATTTTGTTCCTTGTTTTGTTTCTGCCACAGATATGTCAACAGCGAAAGGAAATGCTTCCATTGGCATCATTCCATTCCAGTAATTAAATCTTTGTGCCATTTCTGATAACTTTTTGCTTGCAGTTTCAAATGTCTTCCACACCCACAGCTAGGCCAACCAAAGTGAGCAGCATAATACATAAAAGCAGGAAGACCAATTGTTAATATTAGCCAATAATTGAGGGGACAGACTGCCTTTAATTCGTATGAACAAGTATTTATCTTTTGATTTTAATCAGTTTAAGATAATAACTACTTTTAGAAATCTACTTGCTTACAACATGTTTACTAATTTTTCCATTTGTACACACTTGTTGTGTTATTTGTAAAATTTCAGTTTTGCTATGGCATTTATATAAATTATTATGTTTCTTCTTAAAAGGTAAAGACCAGTCATGATTTTGAGCATAGTGAAATGCTTTTATATCAAAATATGATTTTAAGAGAAAGTGGAAAGAAGAAGGAGGCTTTGCAGCATTTGAATGATTATTCAAAATTTATAACTGACAAGCTACAAGTGAAAGAGCTACAAGGTAAATTAAATTTTTCTCTGCAAGTTACAATTTTCTTTAATTTTGACGAATCACTAAATAAAGTAAAGTAGTCTGAATAAAGTTGTGTCCATTAATGTAAACAATATTTGGTTATCACTTTCAAAACTACCTTGATGTTCAACTTTGGGTTGATATTTATTTATATCTTTGTTTTGATATGCTATTTTATTTTCACTTTTATAATAAAACAACAGAACAAGAACGTTTTTAACATCATTTCATTATAAATATTTGAAATTTATGCTTTTGCTTTGACAGCTGCAAATTTAACCCAGAGCTATCTTGCACTGTTCATTGATCTATTTTATCAGTGGTCTATTTCACATTTGAAGCTCTTATTAATTTTTTTCTTTCCTAGCTTCCTTGCACATGGAACTTGATCAATTGAAAGAGGCAGAAGAAATTTATAGAGGCCTGTTGAAAAGAAATCCAGAGAACTGGTTTTATTACAGGAAAATTGAAGAATGTCTCAAATTAGGTTGGTTATACTTTTTATAAAGAAAGACATCTTGGATGTTGAATTTGGTCTGTTCTTATCAATTCCTCAAGTTTTTTCCTTCCTTTTGATAAAATTGTTGTAAAGCAAAGTCGATTTCTTATCCATTTTAGACTCAGAGGAAGATAGATGGAAACTGTGTCTTGAATACAGCAAACGGTACCCAAGCACTGAGGCACCCAAGAGGATACCTCTTAATTTTACTACAGGTTTGTAGTTTGATGATTATAACGCTGTCTCTTGTGTGTATCAACATGCCTTTTATTTTTTTTGATTAAATAAACTGGTTTTTTCTACCAATCCGAAAGAATTTCTTAAAATCTAGAATAAGGAAAGTGGAACACTGTTAATCCTAACTGCATCAAAGGTTTCTTTTAATTGAAGAACTGATTAACCTCACCCCCGAATTTTTCGCTACCATTGATGCAATGAAAGAATACTTTATCATAATAAATCATGAAAAATAAAAGAAGTCTGTTCCCAAGTGATTTTATCTCCAGTTTTTGAAAAAGTATTTTTCTATATGCAATTTCCTTATTATTGCTGTTCTTGATAAATTTAATTTTTTATGGCTAAATTTTGCTGCCTTAACGCAAGTCTACCCTTTTTCACTTTATATCAAAAATTGCATGAATCAGAATCTTTGATATCATTTTACAGGCGAATCTTTAAAGACGTTGGCTGACAGCTATTTGCGAAAAGCACTAAGGAAGGGAGTTCCATCCTTATTTGTAAACATGCGTACCCTTTACGGTGACAAATCAAAGGCAAGTTTATTTCTAAGTAATTTCTATCATAGAATTACCCAACACAGCTGGCTGTGTGGTTCCCCATTTCTTGCTTCCTGCTGTTTTTTGATCTGCCGTTTCTGTTCTCTGACCGCTAGATACATTTGGTGCCAACTAAAAAAAAGGCCCCATAGATAAACATTTTTATACCCTACAGCACCAAATTGAGTTAACATCAAGTTAATTTTGAAGTAAGATTATTACTACTTGAATTAAATGTATTGCTATGGCAGGGGTGCAGGGACAAGGATAGATTTACTCAGAAGCAAGGGGGGCTGAAGCTCCCTTACTTATCCATTTTTTCAGGCAATTTCGTTCCACTGTTGGAAGTTGCAGGAACACTATAAGAACACTATGCTGAAGATGTCTTCTAGCATCGTGTTCCAAACCGTGTAACCTTGGTTCACTGCTTTCTCACACACTCGAAGGTTCTTGCTAAGAAACGCTCTTCATAATTGATATTGTCCATTATGTTTCTTGTTCCTTAAAAGGTTTTAAGGCTTTGTCATCATGGTTTGCATATATCTTGATAGTATTTTTCTTTTAGGTTGAAATTCTTGAAAACCTTTTGTCGAGCTACGAGAAAAACTTGACATTGCACAATTCGTTTGAAGAATGTGGTAAGCTTTTTTAAAGGCCATTAATGTAGAAAACCTTTGACTTTTTCACCAACAATGGCCACAATGCCTGCCAAAAGTCTTGGAACACTGACGTCAATTTCCAATATCAAATCAATCATCCCCCTCTCCCCTACAGAACAATGTTGGTTTACTATCAAACAGGTTAGGATTTTAGGAAGCGCTTTCTTTTGCGTACTTTTATGATATTTCTCTAAATCATCAACATTGTTTTAGGCGGAAGGGGGCGGAAGTAGTAATTTCTTTTCAAGAAAGGAATGGAAGATATCAAATGCAGCGTAAATTGCTGGGTGTTCCAAGTACTTTTGGCAGGCATTGTACGTGCTTTTGAATATGCTAATCCCCGTGTGTTTGAAGTACCTAATTATTGGATCAGCCGAGCCTAGAAATATTGGCAAATAAAACATCTGATATTGAAAACTGCATAATGAGAAAAACGAGTGTAGTCAACAGAACTTTGGCTGCCAATATACTTTTGGTATTGTCAAAAGCGCAGATATGAAAGTGATTCGTAGAAGGCCATAAAGCTCTTTCTAGCTCTAATGAGCTCAGCAACCTGAGGTAGAATTTTTTACAAACGAAATTTCAATTTCAAACATTTCATATTTTATTGAAAATTCAAATGACTCGTCCACAGATTATCTCGGCATGGAAGCCTTCAAAGTCAGCCCCTTTTTCGAATCTCTCCTCCTTGGAACGTAGAGAGTCATGATATCGGAGATGTTTCAGCGTATCTCAAAACAGTCATTTACCGGCTATAATATAATGTTTTTGTCATAGTCAAGGCTATGCTTGTTCTAAATACTCTTTGATTAAGCCAAGAGTAACATAAAGGGCTTTAAAAGAAGCTGTCATGAATCCTATCATAACACTGAAGGTTTCGTTTGATGACTTACTGTAAAGATCGCTCTCTCTGACAGGCGAGGTGAAAGAAGACCCTTCAGTTTTACTGTGGACATACTTTTTTATTGCGCAACATCATGATCAGCTGAGAAGAACCGACCTTGCATTAGAATACATAGACAAAGTTTTGCAGCACACCCCTACGCTAATAGAAGGATACATGGTTAAAGCCAAAATATTCAAGGTATGCCGTGCAAACTCTAAAACGTACACTTCGTGAAAGCAGAGAAAGACAAGTTATGCTCAAGATGAACATTCCCAATCTTTTCTTGCATTTAGTTCCTTGGGTCAAATATGGCCTTAGAGCTGCAGTTAAGACTTCGTAGCCTTAAAAAGAGCATTTTGATGCCATTCTTAATCAGTCCGACTACATCTAAAATTTTACACGGTAATATAATCTTATTTAATCCTAACCAATCCGTTTACAATTAAGCAAAAATGATCCCCCAAAATTTCTTTCAAAGCCTTTCAATAATATATATATCTATTTTCGTTTTAATAATATTTTTATTCTATGAATATAGAGAAGAGTGGAAGCAAATTTCTTCAAATTGGTTATCTTTGTTCCTAAGTTGTACTGCAGATCATTTCTGCTTTGTTTTTTTACAATTTGGTACCCACTTTTCTAGCACGCAGGATGCATAGACGAAGCCATGAAATGGATAGACGAAGGACGAACACTAGACACAGCCGATCGCTATGTTAATTCAAAATGTGCCAAATACCTCCTCAGGGCAAATCAAGTTAAAAAGGCTGAAGAAATATGTGGTCTATTTACAAGGGTATGCACATTTATCTACAAGTGTATTTTGCTTTACTGTAGTCTAGCGTGGTAGAGTTAACCAAATGGTAACAAGATGACAGCTTTTGGAACCAGTAAGGTTCCGAGTCAGAGCTATATTCGGACTGTATGTAACAAACTTGTATGGACTGTACTAAATTCTGATTGTTGCATTTGTACAGGAAGGTGCGTCGCCTGCAGACAACTTAGACGAAATGCAATGTATGTGGTTTCAAACGGAATGTGCCTTGGCGCACAAACGAACTCGGAACATCGGTGAAGCACTGAAGAAATGTCATCAGATAGATCGGGTAGGCGTTCTTTGTCATAAAATCCTGTCTTCTAGGAATGGGATAAGTCTTTCTTTGCGCAAGAATTGAGCTCATTTCTTCTGGTTTAAGAATAATTTGAGTATTTTCTTTACAATTTATAGAATTCATATTATATAATTCATTTAGCTTAATATACATGAGTTTGTTTAGATACCATTAAACTATTTGAATTTTTTTGTCCAATAGAATTCTAAGATTTTCAAAGAACATTCATGCATATTAATCATTAATCGGTTGGCTGTAAACTTTTCACCGAATGAAGTTGCTGTTTTGAATGCCCCCTTTTATTTTCCGTAGAATTTCTCTGAAATTATTGAAGATCAATTCGATTTTCACACGTATTGTATGAGGAAAGTCACTCTCTGTGCATACGTCAAGTAAGTGGCCGAGTATTGTTTATATTTGCCAAACTAGCTTGTTTGTTGAGCAAACATTCTAGTTTGACGATCAAAATCCCCGCAAATGTAACAACCACAAACCTAATCTCTTTTTTCTTTGTCATCATCAATTTTTGAACATCATCACAATTCCACCATTGATATTAAACATTTTTTCTTCTTCTATGGTATTATGGTAGTCTAAAAAAGGCTACTTGGCTTTTTAGGTTACTACGCTTAGAAGATGTTTTGAGAAGTCATCCTTTTTACTTCAAAGCTGCAAAGATCGCTATAGAGGTTGGAGTTGTTTCCTGCTTTTCTCTCTAATTAATTGATCATTAGTTCCAATGGCAATTTTTGCTTGTCTTTTCGAAGTAATAAGATTTTGTCTAATACTTTCAACTTCTTTTAAAATGAATTTCTTGAGTTATAGTGTTAAGGGTCATTTCAGCCCCATTCTTTCTTATTTTTTTTAATTGTTTTGTTTAGCTTAATAGTGAAAATTGCTACTGTTAAAAAAATATTTGATTTACCTTTAAAAGGACGGTTCAAAGAGCCCACCCCACTTAATTTAGAAATATTATTAAGCTACCCTCGTCATGGAAAATCAATCCTCAAAATCGAAATAAATACTTGGATAGTTTATTTGCGATTTTGTAAAAGAGAGCAGTTCTTCAGATGTTCCGTTAACTAATGTCGTTTGTTTTGCATTATATCACGGCTGTTTTCTTGTGTTTGTCTTAGCTGTACATAGGGCTGCACGACAAACCATACGAGGAGAAGAACGAAGATGATAATTTAAACAAAGGTGAGCCGCTACATGCTTCCGGCCAAATACCAGATGTCTTGAGCAACTAAAACTGCATCTAGAAATTTGTTTTGTAGAAAGAAACTTGTTTTCGCAGCTTTGGTCTCTTAAGGATTTCCAGAGTATTTGAATGAGAAAGCCTTGAACAGTAGGGGAACTTAGCTCATCCAAAAAGTGTAATATTTCAGTGCTGTATACACCGCTTTAGAATCATTTCTTGTCTGTACGACCTTAAGACAACTTCGTGAATCAGCTTTCAACTGGCTAGTTTATTTTTTGCAGGAAACCTGTCTGCTAAAGAGCTGAAGAAACTGAAAAGCAAGAAGAGAAGAGCCGAGAAGAAAGCCCAAGCCCAAGAGGAAGATAAGAAAGGTTAACACTTAAATTTAATTTGTAATTATTTTTGCTTAAAAAACCATCTTCATTTATTTTTGCTTCTTATCATCATGTTCAATTTTACATTATTCTCTAAAATGAAAAAACATGTCATCCACGGATAATTTTTCTTGCTTTGAAATAAAGTATGCTTTGCCCCGGTGAACAGGAGCAGACATCAAAGAAAGCAAGGAAAGCGAAAAGAAAGAAGAGAAGAAAGAAAGATTCGATGCAAAGGCCCTTGTGATGGTTGGTTTTCTAGTTAATTTTTGCTATTTTCATAAAGTCGCCAGCATTTATATATCACATCTTGTTCCATTATAACCAGCTTAATATTTATAACCACTCTGGTCGCTCATATTCCTTCATTCTCAGATTTAATGCCGATAATTATGTTTCTACTTTTTCTTAATACCATTATATTTTATGCACGCTTGATTCTTGAAATAAGGGCAAACATTTGTTAACAACCAGAAATATTTAAGTGTTAACGTGGATAATTTCCTAACATAACCAAACAACGCAATTGCTATAATGTGAATAAGCCTCACCTTTGAACAAGACCCCCCCCCTCCCCTCGAAGAAGCCTCACCCTAAATTAATTTTTGTGAAATAAGTCCTCACAAATAGAGAAATGAAATTTACCCTGATGATATTTTCGGCTGCTGCTAAATGATCCTGTTTCTTCGAATAAGCCCCCTCCTTCGAATAAGAACACACCCCAAAATATTTTTTTCAGAAAAAGCCCCGGAGGCTTATTCGAGGACTCACGGTTTAGGACCTTATTTATATTTGAACGAAAAGATAAAACCCGCAGACCACCATTAAAGTTAATTTGGGTTGGCAATCTCAACCATGAACAGTTCTGTTTTTTGCAAAACAAATAAGGCGGGTTTTACCTAATATGTCAAATTGGATCCCGGTCATATCTCTTTACATTTTCCACAGTAATTTCGAGATATATTGTTTGTTCATGTTTATCGGAAACGAACCGTTCGTAATTGTTTTTGCACAAATATTTTATTCTAGACTGAAAAGCCTTTGGAAGAAGCAATCAAGCTTTTGAATCACCTTCAGTTGCTTGCTAAAGACAGGATAGAAACACACCTCATGGCTTATGAGATATACGAACGCAAACGTGAGCCTTGTTATGTTGAAAATTCTCTTGTTTGAAGATCCATATTTTTCAATATGATTTCTTACAGGACGTTTATCTTTCTATGCAACTCGGCATTGCCCTTCGAAAACCTTTTTTAGACGTGAAAAGTGTAAAGAACTTTCTAGGCAAATAGTCTAAGAGAAAGACTCAAAACTCGTAAAAAAACTCACTCCCTAGTTTAAGATTTCCCATAACTTTGTAAAGCGGTCCCATGTACCTTTTAAGGATATACGATGTTTTGATGCTATAAACCATCCTCAAGCAACCTTTCTACAACCATAGCTGAGTATTATTGATGATTTCTTAAAAAAAATATTTGACAATTATATATTGTATAAACATTTTAGTGAGTTGCCTAATGATCGCATAAAGTGTGAAACTCAGAGTAGCAACTTTGAACCGTTCTGTTTTATACACCAAATGACGTGAATTTTACCTTGAGATAAACAGCAGAAAGATATGGAAGTCGAACGTTGGTAGCTTTTCCACTGGGGTGATTTTATAAGCCATTTCTTAATTTGTTTTCATCTTGCTTTCTCTTTTTAATAGGAAAACCATTGCTGATGCTTCAGGCCATCAAGCGTGCATACAGCTTAGATACAGAGAACCCAAAGCTCCATGAATGCATAGTGAGATTTGCGAAAACAAGTGAGCGATTCAGGCATTTTACATTCACAAATACTTTATATACATTCAGCAGAATACCACTTGACAATGCCACTTTCCGTATCAAGATACTTGGTTACTTATAGTTCAAATAAATCTCGTCGTTTTTTGAGAGTTCGAGTTGTACAAAAGTTGCTTTTTAAACATTTCCATGTTCATGTAGGTTTTCTTAAGCTCCCACCACTTCATATGATTTCAGACAACGTTATCCCGAATAAGTGTCATGTATAATTCCCCGAAACAATTAAATTAATCAAACATTACCAATACCTCTTGATCAAGTTGAAGGGTTGAGCGTTATGTGTGGCAACATAGAGCTTGTTTACGTAGAGAATTTAAAAAAATTGCGTATTTATGCTTCTTGCGTGACCCATTGATTATGATACAAGTCTTTAGGACTTTCGTAATTTTGTTGTGTTGCAGTATTTGTTCTGGGCCTTGGCATGAATGTATGCACCTAAAGCTCCTTAAGTGATTGGTTGTGCTGATAATGGTGCTTTTATTTTCAGTTGCTGATGCTCGACCAAGCCTATCCAAGATCGTTCTCTCCGTGCTTGACAGGGGAATTCCAAGCTTCTTAGTCAATGTTGATTTGCAGAGTTATAATTTGCAGTTTCATCAAAGGCACAAGAGTTCATTGATCAGTCAAATTTCTGGTATGTAATATTATTGTAATAGCTGGATCTTTGCAACGTAATTTTATGCAAACGACGTGTTTTCTTATGCACAATGAAACATAAAAACCATAATTGCTTGATGGACAGGCAATCTGCCTATGCACCATCCAACCTTGTGATAACAGCCTATCTAAAAGACAGAGATAACCCTTTTAAAGATGTTCTCTATAGGTCACTAATTAGACAGCAAATATTTCCGAGACGAAGCTTGGTTAATTCCTGTCTTCCTCAGATTGTTTCAGTGAACCCTCGATTGCTATACTTTTGACAGTGTCACTTCTTGCAACATTATATTTGATTTCGTCTGAATTCAAGTCCAATAAATCATTTTGTATGAATGCTTCCGCACGTTGGTGAATTAGCTGAACAAAGAAAGAAATATATATTGTACATGCGATATTGTTGCCTTATTGTTTGTTAAATGTTTCAAATAAAGAGTTACTAAAAATCATCCTTTATGGCCATGAACTGTTACCATTTGATCTCAATGCAAAAATCCTTACGGCAACATTGAAGTATATTCAAGCCACCAAACGGTTTGAATAACACAGGAACAAAAATCTTTAAAGCTCCTCTTGATTAACTTCGATTTATTTCTTTTGTGGTTTATTTAATTATAAAGTCGATTTTAAATGTTGCGATTTACGTATATGTCTAGTGCTAGGAGGTAGTCAAGAAATATTGCTCCTCCTGGCCGTTCTTGTAATGTAGTATAGTAGTTTCCGTTGTGTACAGTTTTAGGTAATTTTATTTTTAACTTTTTATATCGAATTAATAAATATATACTAGTATTTTTTATGTTTGTTATTTTTGGAAGGAGGCGTTTACTTGCCTATGTCAACTAGTTTTGCTAGAGAAGAAAATGATTCCTCTTTGCTCTCTTACTGCCTGTTTGTTTGTTAATGTTGTATGTAAATACGTTTACAGTGTCCAAAATGATGTACTACCTGGATAGTTCAAAGAAGGAAGAGGCCGCCAAATTAATTGTTGACATGCCAGAAGAATTAGAAGATATTACCTTAGAGGTAGGTTCAGTAGACGTTTTGACATTAGACAGTGAAACTAGATTTGCAAATTATTCGAAGCTTTTTGTGTAACAGGATGTGTAAGATTTTGTTACAGATTGTAGGTTGGAAGTGTAGACAAGCTTGTTTGAAATGTAGCATAATATTCTAGTTTCCTGGTAGCATTGATTCAGCTAGGCTGCTTTTACTTCCTGGTTTGGCCTTTTTGCGTTGTCTGGTCTTATTGCTTGCTCTTATGCCTGCTTTAGGTTTCTACTAAATGTACTTGTGATGAAATCGGTTGACAGATAGTACAGACTTTATTATGTGAATTTCTAATAATCTGATTCACTGTGAATCAAAGGCATCTTTTGTATTTTGTTTTGTTTTTGCGTCCTCTTCCTTCCTGCATATAATTTCACTGTGTTACGTGGCTTTTTGCAGATTTATGTTTTCAGATTATGTTATATCTAAGGTTCATATCTGTTTGAATTTTACTCTTTCTTGGGTTTATAAATTTTTTAATGCCTTATAGAACTGTATCATTGCCTACGACACAATAGAAGACGGGCATCTAGGCGACTGTGCTCTGTTACTGCAGCAGTTTAGACAGAAGTTGTCTGCAATGTTCCCGCTCGCGACGAGGTTCCGATGCATAGAAGACAATGAAGATGCATCAGCAACTTCGAATCATGTCGATCATGGAGATAAAGCAGTGGGGAAACTAACCAATGGGCCTGCGAGTGAGAACAACATTGCAGGTTTCGATGAAATGGCAGATTAAATTTTCTTTCTATACTTTGAACGAAATCTTGTTCTCGTCCTCGGGGCAAATGGATGGGCCTTAACCCATTATGAAGTCTCAAGAAAAATGAATGACCTATTCTGCAGGTAAGGAATAAGGGATGACTGTGCTTATTTCAGAAAATAAGAGACAGGAAAGACATTTTTATTTGTACTGCAATGGATTTTCTAGACGTGTGTGTAATAATTTTGGAAATCCACAGCGTTGAAAAGAATTGAATTGTTCTGAACAGCCCGGTCATGGAGCAAATTTGCTAGTGCTGTATGTAATTTTATCTTGAGAGTTGTTTTGTGATTTATTGATTATATACGAGTATATAGAAGACTTTAAAGATTTCATCTTTCGTGGCCTGAATTTCATTTATTTACAGTCGCCATTTTGTTATTTTTTACGCAAGTCTCTCGTAGGTTCTGTCTAGGCATGACTCGTATTAGAGAGGGGTAGATTTTGGTAAAGATTGATTTTTTAACGAATACATTTTTTACTCAGCCATTTCGTTCAATAAACAGATGTAATATGCCTCTCTATGTTTCACGTCCTCGCGTTAGTCAATAGATCCCTTAGTGTGAAGCGTAAATAAGTTCGTTTTTCGAAGCATCTATTGTCAGCCATGGTGCTTTTCTTAAGGTGATGATATTGTCATTTCTGCTCATTGCGTATATGTTAGGCTCTTTCCATCCCTGTGATGTGATCAGGAATATGAGGACTTTTACCTTCAGCTGCCTCGTGTATCGTATTCTTGTTGTGTAAAGTTTTCTGCAAGTATATGGTTCAGATTGCTATGAAAATGTCAGCCGATAAAGGGGTGTTTTTATTTTGCCCAACTCTTGTTTCCATTTCGTACCCGCGCTTGATTCAACTTAATGTTTTTTATCCAGTATGCCATTAGGTTGTCCGTCTTATTTTTTATGAAATTCGAGGGATGGTTTGACAAGAAATTTTTTTTATTTGCCAAATTATCAATGTTTACACTTAAGTTTGCAAAAGTGCTCACATTTGCTCAAACAACTAACATGAATTTTTTTACATTTTAATTCAAAATACAAAGCAAAGTCAGTGTTTTGGTGCGATACTGCAATTTTACTTTATTTCAACCACCCTATTTCTGTTACCTATTGCCATTACAGTGGTATTCGGTACCAATGGTATGCTCTGTTGTAAACTGAAGCAAACATTTAAAGGCATCTTTCAAATCCCAAAGTTAAGATACTTGATATTACCTCATTTTGATACGTGGAATTGATGTTTGAAACATTAGCAAACAGTTAATTTTGGTAAATCTCCGGTCTCTGAATCCTCCATCTGCGTAGAGAGATGATAATGGGCAGAATAATAATAAGAATAATGATCAATTTATTTAAAGTTAGCGCTACTTAGCTATTTATAGTGAAATGAGCTAATGCAAGCCAACTGTTAAAACTAATACATCAAATAAATACATACAAGATTGAATATATAAAGTTTCAAGTATATAGTAAACTTTAAAACGAATTAAAAGTGTAGCATAAAAATCTAATCTGAGAATGATACACCTACTTTCAAGACCATGCCATGTTATGGCCAAACCTGCACCTAGAGTGGGGGAGTCGCAAGCTCTCTCTTATTCCAAGCATAGCAGTCAGGGGGAGGTCACATTGTGCAGAAGGACCAGGACAACTGTCTATAAGCATAGCTACTCTGTGTCCTAACAACTACCTTCAAAAGCTAGGTAGAAGCATATAATGATACACTGTCGCATCATCATAGTCGCAATGATGCCCGAAAAGTGGTTACTTACACATTCGAAAACTTGGATGGCATATTTTAAGAGGGGCTCATAAAAGACTATTGGCCCAATTTTACTGCAATCATGTCAGAAAGAATTTGAAAAGTGAAAACCTTAAACGTCATTGGTAGATTTCAAATTCCAAACAAAAAGAGGTTAAGATATTTCTTCATCCAATCTGTTGCAGAATAATTTCATGCCATCAAAAAGAATATCTCGAAAGCCTTGAAGAGGATTGAACAAACAAACCAGAAAAAAGTAGAGATGGCTGTGTATTTATTTTTAATCTCGTCATCAAATTAATACCTGTATTAATTTAAGGAGAAATATTGAATCTAGACACAGATATAAACATGTAACAGGTTTAAAAGTTTGTTTGGATGGCCTTTGATCGTTCTCATTTATCTCCTTGCGCAAAGCAAACCGTTTGGTATCGAGGTGAATTTTTCAAATAGAGTCAATATGGAGGGATCAGTTGTTGCTCTTAACCCAACCCAGATATAAACCTGTCATTGGAACCGATTTTTGCAAATGCATTTATACCAGAATTGCATAATAGAATAGAAATTAAGTTTCAGTGTGGTAGAAAAATGAATTGACTTTGGTGTGCAAGCAGAAGTTGCTTCGGGAACTGCCACACTCTCCTGGACTGTCAGTTTCTGGTACAAATTTCTGGACATCTCGATGTTTTCATATATTACTGGGATATTACTGTCAAAAGGCCGTTCGCCGGAGACTGATATTTTCATCGTCCTCCTCCGCAGTACAATTTTTCCCTGACGACAGTAACACAGTTTCCCTGTGTTACTGAGAGCGAGAAGGAAGAGGATGTAGGCGGGTGTTTTGATTTCAAAGATTTCATATTTTCGACGTTTTACAGTTGGAAGAGAACTGCTCAGATAGGTATGTACTGTTAGAAATCGTGAAAATATAGAAAGAATTAGCCAGTTTAAATATGATTGTGTCGATTAGGCTACCGAGGAAGTTAAACGTTCTTGATTGTAGGACTTATATTAGGCCATCATATGGAAATTTCACGCACAATGTGAGGCAAGCATGAAACATTTACGTTGTTTAAGGCGTTTTTTATCTACCCAGTGGAGATTAATTATGCTCTCTATTGCTAAAGGAATTTTTTTACTTAATTGCTGTTACCTAAATTATTTATCTGTCCAAGTATATTAGACCCCTACTAGGCCTTTATATTTGTGTTATGCCCCATATCTTATGATGTTGTCTCCACTGCAAAAAAGAGGATTAGATCTATGGTGTTCCTCAGTAGCCGTGATGATATCTCCAAGAGACCTGCTCTATTGTTACATGGTAAACTGCAGTTTATATCTAACATTAAAAAGTGAAATTTGAACTATTAGATGAAATGCTTAGATACTATTAGAGTCTAATTAAGTTAGACAGAAGGGCTGTTTCCAAAAAATGTTTGCCTATGACCAAAATTCGTAAATTTATAACTGCATTTGGTAATATAGGAAAATTTTACCATATTGATTTGAGAATTTATGATAATTCTAATTCTTTACAAATGTTTTGTTTGATAATCCTGTTTTGTGTTTTGTGACCAACTTATCTTTTGACATAGAGGGCTTGTTATAAACATCCCCTCCCATAAGCACCACCACCGCTATTGATTACCCTCTTGACTGATCTTTGAATCAAATATTTGATTTCTTTAAAAGTCATTGAAGTTGAAATCTATTGTGTTTTATAGATCTGTCATAAAGAATACAAAGATACTGTATGGAAGTAATGGAAAGTGTTTTGGGTAGGTGAATGTCTGTTTAGTTGGACTTTTTGTATGTTAACCAATACAACATAGACTTCTTTTAAATATGAAATCTATGTGGTCAGGAGTGTGGAGTGAAGATTTTATCTGATGAATATAATTAATATGCAATAGCATTTGATTAGTTCAAGGATAGCTCAGTGGTTGGGGTCACAAACTACAGATCCAAGTTTCAGGGGTTTGAGTCCATGACATCACCAAACTTTTGCTAAAAGGGGGGGTGTCACCACCTCTCTGTAATTCCAAGCATAGAAATCATTAGGTGTGGTTACACCAAAAGTAAGAATTGCTTTCATGTATCAACAGGTATTCATGCAGGGTCTTAAGGAATCCATGTATAATCTGGTTAACTACGCATAAATGTGAAAATTTGCACAGAGCCTTAACAATTTGTCATAGGAAAAGTAGCATACGGTTTAACTCCTTCAACCACTGACCTTTCCTGCTTTGTGGGAGAGATTAATATTGATCAACTAAAGAACCATCAAAATGGCAATAAACCTTGTTAAACTATTTGCTTGAAGAATAATAGTTACTGCATTTTAGCAACCCATAATAGTACTCTTTGTTATATGAAAGATACATTATACTGCATTTTGGCAACCCTGTCTTAGAACATGCAAACCACTCAACATGAAGACACTAAAGATGAGTTCAAACACTGAAGCTATATGCAATTTAAGCCCAATAAACTTGCCTAAAGGTTTAAAAAGGCACTAAGCCAGGCCTGTTTTTTCTAAAGGAAAAAACTCTTTATACAAAGTAACCCATAATCTTACTACAAAAGTAGAATGAAAAAGTAAAACAATTAAAAAGTAAAGAATAATAATATTTTCTCTTCTATCCTTGTTTTGTAGCGGTTTTGATTGATTATGGTATTATTCCATTTCTTGGGTGCATTTTTGAGTATCCAGTAGGTTAATGCAATTATTCATTTTTGCCACTGAGAGGGGAAGTCAAAACGTCCTTCTGCCTTCTGTCTTCCCCTCTCAAATGTTGGCATAAGTAAAGAGATATCAGGTATAATCTACAAATATTTTCTGAGAGTTTACATTTCCCTCAACTCTTGTTTTTAACTTGCTTTTCACATTACATCTTCATGAAAATGGTCGATTTTTCTTGTCTCTTGGTAAATGAAGACGACTTTTAACAATCGTGTTACTTCAAAGATAATTTATGGAGAGGCTTGAAAGTGTAACCAAAATTTAGTAAATAATATCTCAGTGATTTGATTTTCTGATAGATCCTTAGCAGTAATCTATTTAACCCAACCTTTTCTCAAAAATTGGCTCTAAATCTTAACAAGTCTTAGTGGCCTATTTCCACTTCACAGGAACTGCTTGAAGACCCAACGTTATTCAGCATGGAAATATCCTTATATGGTTAACAATAAATCCCTCCTGTGGTAAAAGTTAGTGAGCCAAGAAGATTCAGCGTTGGTCAGCTTTAGTTCAAAGATCATAGTCATGTCGGAAATCATCGACTGTATTTCGTGGATTGTGCAGAAGACCTGCTGGTCATTTTATGTTTTCTTGAAGTTTCTCTTGTTACGCTTTCTTGATTTGCTTGGTCTTATTTTCAATGTTGCTGCCTGCCTTACAATAATTCGTTTTCCGATGATGATCCGCCAGTTCGCTGATATGGATGATCTGGAAGAATGGCGATACGTTGGACTAGTGCAGTTACTGATTTTTATAGTTGATATCCCCGTCATGATTGCAGCTGCAATCCTTGTATTGACGGTTTTCAGAATGTTTCCTCTCTGTAAGGAGTTGAAAGAAAACAACTGTGAATGGGACATTAGTAAACAGTCTCATGAGATTTACTTTTCTGGTTTTAAAACAAGAAAGATTATTATGAAACAGTTTTTCCTTCTATTGGTTGATTTACTGTTTATTCCTGCAGCATTGTTGTGCCTCTTGTCGTGGCGCTGTATTATTTTCATTAGAGCTTTCAAGGAAGCCTCGGACCAGTGGGAGAAACGCAAGACATGTTTCAAACAGCTTCTGTACTTGTTCCTAGACATACCATGCATCGTACTTGGCCTTATTTGTATGTGCACGTGGAGAATGCCTTTTATTGTTCATAGATGGTACAAAGCATATCGAGACGACACTGAGACTGAGTGGGACACAGAAAAATGGTACGCTTTTTACCATTTCGGATTATTCCTAATTGATATCCCCTGTATCGTGTGTTTTTTCGTTGCCTCTGTTACATGGCGACTTCCATTTATGACCCAAAAGCTGACAAAGATTTCAATATTCGATAAAGATGATGAATGGAAGCTGAGGAAGCTAGCTGTTGCCCAGTTCATTCTCATTTTTATCGATATCCCATGTTTACTTTGCTCACTTTTCGTGTTTGTCACCATTTGGAGATTCCCTGCTTTTGTACAAAATATCAGATATGCTCTACGTAAGAAAAGTGGCAGACAGTGGAAGGTCCGTCGAGCTGCGATTTTACAGTTTTTTATATTTTTCATCGATGTCACCTGTTTTATATTGTGTGCGATAATAATTGGGACATTATGGAGACTTAAACCGCTGTTGCAAGGAATAAAGAAAGCTTTGTCTTCCAAACACAAATCAAAGGACGAGGAAACGATGAAAGGTGATGTTGAAGGGACAGCTGGAGCTGGAGCTGGCGAACAAGTAGAAATAAATGAGGACCTAAGATCAAGCTCTGTTAATGATTCACCACCAACAGCTGAAGGAAACCTGAAGGATCTTGAAGATTCACAGAAAGAAGTGACCGCATCAAAAGTAGATCAGGATGAGAGCAATCTTGATGCAAGCACAGAAAGTGCTAAAAAGAAACTTCGAATTGGCTGGAAAATACGAAAAGTGATATGCATCCAGTTTGCAAGTCTTCTTATCGACATACCAGCTTTGGCACTTTTATGTTTTTTGATAGTCACAATACTCCGACTCCCAAAGCTCCTCTCCACATTTCTCCAAAGTGGTGACTTTTACACCGAATTCGCACTGACTGTCTATTACCAGACGTTCCTTCTATTTACTGACTTATTTTTTGCGTTACTTTTTCTACTTTTAATGTTTTTACGGCCATTTCAATCTTGGATTTGTCTCCTCGAAGATGAAGACCATATGAAGTATCGTTTGCTTCGCCATCATATGCAGTGGATCCCTGATATCGTTGCTAAACGAAAGCCTGCTTACCAGCAAGCCAATGAGCTACTTTCCATTCACCTAAAAATGTTCTCTGCGTCTTACCTCTTCAAAAATTCAGTCAAGCTTTGTCTTGACGAGTTCATTGATGAACTAAAAAAGATAAGAAATAAATTGAAAGATCAAGATTTAGACCCAGACTATGTTCATTTACTCGATTCTGTGTTGTGGTGGGAAGATAAGCGAATTGACAAAATGCTCAGGCTTTACGTTTGTGAATACAATTATCTATGTCGCCCTGATCGTCAAGTGCACAAAAAGAACTTAGAAACACTCAAACGGGAGCTCGATATCTACGATGCAAAGGTAGACGAACAATATCACCATTTGAAGGAATTCATTCTCACAAAAGTGCCATTGTGGACTGATTCAACTGGATTAAGTTCGCGCACGAGAAAGGAAACGCAAAAGGTTCTTATTGACTGTCTTCCACGTGGTGATATTTTCTTAGTGCTTCTTGCACTTTTGTGTTGTGTTCCAATATATAGGGGCCCAGCTATGGTAAAAAAGCTGTACAATCGCTGGTACAATCGATCAAACATAATATTAAGAACTATCAAGGAATATGGCCTAGATCTATTGACACTGTGTCGCATTATTGTAGTTGTTTTCTTCATTTACCGTGCCCCCTTCTTGATAGCAGATATACTGATTGACATAGTTGACAAAAAGAGTTGGAAGGCCGTCAGACGAACTGTAAAGAAATATCCTTTGTACATTTGGGAAGACTTGATCAAAATGATACAGACGCTCTTAAGTTGGAAGACGCCGCGTTTCATCGTAACTTCCATTCTGTTTGGAATCTTAATGCCAGCAGACATATTTTTAACGACTGCAAAAACTTTAACCACAAATGTGTGTATTGCCTACACGATAACTGGGATTATTTATATCACAATGATTGGTTTACCATTTTTAATATCATTTTATCTTGGAAGTAAGCTGCTTGCGATTGGCATTGGCTGGGTCTCCGCAGGAGTTTCTTGTGGTTTTGTGGCTGCATTACTTTTGGTTCTGGCTGTTATGGTAACAGCATATGTCAAAAAGAACCGCGACACAAAGCTTGTTCCACAAATTCACGACTATTTTCATTGGAACTGGTACAACTTGCATGTTATCTTTATGGAGCTGCTTGAATTTCTACAGTCGAACGCGCTGGTATTCTCATATGTTGGTATACCAATGTATGGAGGGTCACTGCTCCACGAAGCCTCAAATTACTTGCTTCTTTCATTCTTTCCATTCAACGTTAAACTGTGGATCGCTTTTGTGCTGTTTTTCATTTGGTTCTTCCTTAGTGCAGCCCCTGTTATTTTTGAGCAAATTCTTGAAGACCTTCCCAAGGGAACCTGCGATAAACACCCAGGATGGAAAATGGCTGTATCGTTATTTGCAAACACTTTGTTCATTACTTTTGTCGAGTGTTTCTTGTCGTGCATTTCCTGTTCCTACGTAAAGTGCCCATCTGATGTCAACTACAAGATCTTACCCACAAATCACACTTGTTTCAGGGCCTATCTGGCAGACGACAATAGCTTGTTATGCTGGGAGGGGCAGCATCGACTAATTGCGCTTTTTGGTCTGTTTGGTCTCGTGTGGTACACAAGTACATCCTTTTTAGTTGCTATTCAATACGGTGATCCTGGAATAACGAAACAAGATGTGGAGTTTTCTCCAACATACAACGTGATACAAAATTTTGTAAAAGCAGCTATGATTGCTGCTGTTGTTGTTATTACCACAAACAAATTTGCAGGTTTGGGAATTCTTATCACTGGAAATGCACTGATGATTATATTTACAGTACTGTTCAAGACATTGTTCCATTACAAGCCAACTAATTCATTTAGTTTCCTGTCATGGAGAGTTGCCGCCTATTCGTCAAGCGTTTGTGCGGCTGTGGCTGTAACAGTTGCTTTTGCTATGGATAAACAAAACAACAAACTACCCGTTATAATCTTCGGTGTAGGCACTTTTATTTCCCTTTTCATTGCTGCAGTTTTGTCTGTTATGTTGCGGAAAAAGGATCGACTTGAATCAGTGCGACAGAAGTTTAAAGAAAGACTGTCTGCTCTTGAGAAACGGCTTTTGAAAGATAACATGCTTTTGAGTTCTTGGAAAGAGCAACAGAAGGCCTGGAGGCATCTGCTTAGAGGTGTTCGTGAAGCTAGAAGGGATGATCAGCTTTTCCAGGCAGCGGATTGGGAAGCTTTGGTGCCAAAAGATGTTGAACCCACAGTCTTCGACCCTGAGACTGAAACAGATGGCCGGACCTTTGTTGATATGCAGACCACAGAGGTTGCAACATTATCTCCTGATCAAAAGCCAGAAAATGTTTTGATCCCTTCAGACCTTCCCCCACCCCCATCTTATGGTTCGGTGACTGGTGACGTTGTTGATGCCCCCAACTTCTTCGCAGATAGAGTTTATTTCGGAGAGCAGGAAGTAATCAAAGAATCTCCATTTGATAACCCACTGTTGTCGCTAGAGCGGAATGGAGTCAATCTGTTGTTGGTTTTGGAGCAAAGTATTCTTTACAAAGCCTATTCTTTCTCATTTTTTGCCCAAAGATCGATATGGTTGTCATCCGTTGTTGTTTCGAACTGGACAGGACTCATGCACTGTCTTGAAGTTTTGGAAAGCAATTTAGACTTTTCCTTTAATCTCCCGAGTACGCTTGATATTTCGATCGCTGGCAATTCAGTTAGCACAGATGTTCTAGACGATGACCCGAGAGATCAGGAAGAGCCCCCTTCTTATATCCCAGAGTCGCGTGACCCAGCTGAAATCGAAGCCTTGTCTACAAGACTGCGCTTACAGGCCCTTGGAGACGTTGAATCCATTCCAGAGCATGGCTCCAAATGGAAAGAGCTAATGGACAAATTGCTTCCAACTCTCCCAGTGATAAGAAACTGGACCTTTGATAAGGATTCTGGTGATTTTGAAGTGAAATTGCGACGGAACGTCACAGGCACAATCAAAAGCGTAGGGTTGAATGGCGCTAAACTTGCTAGGGGGGCAAACATCTCTCTTGGCAAAGTTACAAGAGGAAATCTTGCTTTGGGTAAGATTCAATTTTTGGATGGGTACCAGCCAAAAGGGAGTAAAGGACCAATTCAGATCAATGTAGGCGACATTCAGTTCATTTGGAAGAAGAATCAGTGGTATCTAGAGTCACAGGGAAAGAGTGTTAAATATGACGTTGCATTAGACTCAATGCAAGTACTCGAGTGGCGATAATTAATCGTAAATAAGTTTTGTAATCACCTCTATCGCTTCAAAAATCTTTATGCACGTCACATAATTTTCAATGCACATTATTTCTAAGGACTGTTTGATGTCGCTCGGGACATTACTGCCAAGGCTTTTTGTGGGCTTGTCAGCAGTTATTTCTTCAGCTAATTTGATGTTTAACTATTCTTTTATACTTTTATTATTTCATGTTTTTTCATGCCTATTTAAGATGGCGAATAAAAGTTTCTCCAGGCAATTGCTCACCAACCAGTTAAATCCTGCACTTAGATTGGCCTAGTTCCATTTAAACCCGTCAATTCAATATGTTTGTTGTTATTCCACGTTCCACGTTTGTTGTTCCCAAATCTTTTTCGATTTGCGTTTGGCCTCCCTTTATCGCCATGCATTTAAGCTGTCGAATTCCTACGCCCACATCTTGTACCGGATTAATAATTTTGATATTGGTGTTTATTTAGATAAAGGATGTGCTTGCCGATGAGTAGACTTTTCTCAGCAAAGATTCCAAGACAGGTTTTTCATTTAGGAAAAGATATCTCTTTCGCCACAATGATCTTAACAATGGACTTTTACGAATTACTTAGAAAAGACTTAGAAAAGACTTAGACAAGGACTTAGAAAAGCTGGTTAAAAAAGGCATTTATAGAATTTGCTTCCACCCCCCTAAAGGTTTATCGTATAAATATATGGACAGGTTACCCAAGTATTGGTGGACAAACTTTTCCGTATATCAATTCAGTAGATAAGATAGATGTGAGCACTTCGAAAATTCTGTTTATTCTTATCTTGAAATTTAATATTTACTGTTTATAGCACGTAAGAATTCAGAAAAAAGTTACACTGGACATTATTTCAGGCAATATTGGATGATATGAAAGGACATCGGTTGAATATTATACTTATTTTATGAATAAATGAATATGCAATTCTGATAAGATGATATTTATATATCGTAGACATGATGTTGCTTAAATTTTGGAAGTATTTTGGGTGTGCGAAATTAAAAATAATATGCTGCATAAATGATTTGTCACATTCGATGATCGAGAATATCATGTGCTTGGCATATCATTTGATTTTATTCTGTTTCTTCCGACCTACGATGGTATCTCTGTGATTTCCGTGAAGCTGTATCAGCACGAAGTTTTTATTGACTCAGTAAATGTTGAAGAAAGTTTCATTAAGGAATTAATCAAGAACCAGATTTTATGAATTATCATGTTATCTATTCACAACAAGCTATGCGTAGAAAGTATATCGTTTACGGAAGTTCTAGTACTTTATGGGGGTTGCCTCGATGTTTTCTTCTTGTTGTCAAAATTTCTGATTTTTGCTGCTAAATAGCATACAGTTACTCCAATATTGAACGCCCACGTCTTTGCCCCCTCCCCCCCCCCATGCCCTCTATTAGGCCAACCAAGATAGAAAAACGCCTCTTTAAAAGCAAGCCATTGATCTAATGGGGCGTGAAGGATATAGATTCATTACTTTACAATAGAGTAGCCAGGGTTGCCAAATTTCTTCCTCTTCTTCTTCTTCTACTTCTTCTTCTACTTCTTCTACTTCTTCTTCTCCTTCTTCTTCTTTTTATTCTTCTTTTTCTTCTTCTTAACCGTAGTCCTTGTCCCGATTAATCAGGGTCGGCCACTCAAATCCACCTCCGTCACTCTTTTCTATTCCCAGCAAGGCTCACCGTCAGATTCAGATCCTGCAAGTCCTTCTTGATCTTGTCATGCCACCGTGTTCTCAGCCTACCACGCCCCCTGTTGAATTTCACTCTCAAGTGCGTGATGTCCTTCGCCGGCTGTTCGTTCTGGGCTCTCTCGAGATGGCCAAACCATCTCAACCTGCTCTCCCTGACCTTTTCTAAGATGTTACATACATTTAGTTCTTTCCTTAAGTCATCGCTGCTTCTTCGATCGCGCAAGCAAAAGATATTATTCTCATTTCCGTTTTTAAGAGCAAACTTTCGTCCTTTCTTGTCAGCGCACTCGCTTCTAGACCATACAGTGACACAGGTCTTGCCACTATCACATACAGGGTTGCCAAATTTAAAAATTCAAAATATGCCAATTTATGAGAAGAACTTGTGCCTAGTTAGACTAAAATTTCAAATTAAGAAGTCCTCTTTATTGGCGATGTAGAGCTGCGGGGAAGTTTATTTGATGATATACAGTACGTTGTTGTTACAACTTGAGACACAGTATCTGAAAATGCTGTTCTTTTATCTCTTGCATCAAACATTCATCATCTTAAGTGAAAAATGAACAGCATTTTGACCATTTTCG